TTCTTTTATTTTTAACAGTGCAACGTCCAGAGAGGGGGGGGGGGGGAGTGCCATGAGGGGACCAAATAAAAAATAAAAATCCCTGGTGAAGACTCAGGGTCCTTGGCACAATAACAGCTGCAGGAGAGAGAACCAAAATCTGGCAGATTTTGAGTGAGTAATTATGACCAGCTGACTAAAAAGTTTCTTATTACCACAGGAATTCCCTTAAAATCACCACTTTCTGATAGTTATTCATAACCACTGCACTAAATAAAGATACCTTCAAATTCCAGGACCACTCTTACTGACCTTATTCGCCTACATGCAGCTTTCAAATCCACTCAAACCTACTTTACCCTCTATCACTATTGCTGAGTGAAAATCACCCTGAACATGTGCCTGTAGGAAAAAGCAGGTTTTGAATCAGGGAAACAAATATGCCTTCAAAGACGTCAAAAGCAATGCTGAAGCTACCCAGGGCCTCATAATACTCAGACAAACGCAGCATAATGAAAATCAAGTAAACATGTTTCACCCGGCGATAGTGTTCTAGGGTTAAATCAATTCACTGTTTTGAGTTTTAATAAGCTGTGATTAGTCATTAAGTTTTACCATTAAAGCTAAAAACATGTTTAGTTATGACGGCTCCATGTTTTTTTGACTTTTATTTGCAGGACTCTGATATGAATTATGACTCTATAATGAGTGAATACATGTGTCAGGGGTTCTACCACTCTGGCTCTATCGATTACTGTAACTGGTTCCTCCTCTGCTGCACTTAATAGTGTTAAAGTCAGAGCTGTTTGTGCATCTTAATGGCCATGTCAGAGGACCCTGCTTAAAATGTACTTACACTTAAAACCACTGTTAACCACAGCAGTACAATTGATCTGTCAAACAGAGTAGTTCTCCACATTTCCCTCTCTGTCTCTACAACGCTCATGTCTGGCCTACAAGAGTACTCTGAGGCACTCTCAAGCACTCCTGGGTTCAAGTGACGGAGGAGGTGTTTCCAGGATTTCAGACAGGAGGGAGAGCGAGAGGTGTCTGGCTCGACTTTCAGCTCTGCGCCGACAAGCTGCACTTCACCTTCCAGCTGCTCTCTGTCCCTTTGGATTCAAGGCAGGGGAGGGAGCAGGGCCCTCGGGGGAGGGAGGGAGGGAAGGAGGAGGGGTTTGGAAGGTGGTGGGGGTCAGTGTGGACGGGTGGGGGCACGCTCCTGGGTGGACAGGCCCTGGAAATTTCCGTTGTATGTTTCAGCTCAGTTCAGGATGGGAGGGGTTTGGAGTTGGAGTTTGGGTTGGGGGGGTGGGGGGGTGGAGTGCTCGGGTTGGGGTTTGGGGACTTGGCGGCCAGCCAGCCACAGCAGGAAGCTTGCTAGTTTCACACGGACAAAAAAAGCAGTCCTGGACACTGCCTGGATATCTGAGCGCAGCACTCCAGTCATCACCCATAAAAACAGGAACTCAAAAAATGAGGTCTGCACGGGTGGTGGCACAAAGTGACTGCTACCTACTCACAGCTGCACACCATATTAATATTTCTGTACTGTGTTAGAAAAGCAACAGGCATCTGCTACAGAAAGGTCATGTTTTCCTGTCTATACTTCTAATCATGTTCCCCTTCAAAGACTCACTCTGTTGTTACACATCAGTATTTAAATCTGCCAAGGATTCAGCACATATCAATAATAGATGAGTCATATGTCAGGTGGACTTGTTTCCTTGAGAAGCACCCCTCAGCTGGATTCATTCATGTAAACATCCTCATTTGCTGAACCAAAACAGGCAATCAGTTGGATCCTATTTAAAGTGCATTTCACAATAAACTGCAAAAGGCCTGTGAACAGAGAAAAACAATTACTGACTGGAGGCAGACCATGCATGTCACAAATAAGAATCAGGGGTAAGAATAAAAAACAACAACAACAACAAAACAGGCGTGGTAATTGTACATGCATGAAGTGTTTTCTTTGATTGAAAGGGATGCCGTGTGTTTATTTGGTTTGGCCAAAGTCCAGCTTTTAAACCGGAGGCAGGAAGACGTGGAGCAGAGCAAGAGCCAGCAGGCCCAACAGCAGGGCTGGAGGAGAGCAGGAGGTGCTGCCGTGCATCAGGTGTGCAGGATGGGTGTGCATGCATACGCGTGTGTATGTGTGTGACACAGAGGGGTGAGTGGGTGCAGGGGGCAGGTGGACACGGGTGCAGCTTGTCGGGGGCTCTGGGCCCCTAGCAGGTGGATGCTCAGAGAATAGAAATTTGAAAAAAGAGGGATTAAGGGGATGAAAGGAAGTGAAGGATTACTTGTCTCCTTTTCTCCACCAAGGAGAGAATACAGGCCGTGGCTTTCATACCAAAACACCCATTCCTGGGTATAGACCGGAATTAATTATCTGCTGCAACAATTTACAACCATAAAACTGATTGAACCTGCTCATACTGGGAAGATCAACATTTTAGAAAAGTAATAACTGAAGTACTTCCCTTCGTTTAGTTTATCAGCAGGCTGAAAGTTCCACTTGTCTTGGCAAAATCAATCTTAAAAATGCAGATAAATGATCTAATTTGTATTTCTTATTGAATAAACTGAAGGTTGTTGTTTTTTTTATCCTAAAATCTTGAAAAATGAACCATCACAAGTTCCTGGAACCAGAAGTATTTCTTTTTATAAGGGTAAAAGCAATCTAGCTAAGTTACGAGCACCTATTTTTCATGCTGAAGCACTTGAAGATTTGTCACAATACTGTATTTTGGTAATTGAATGAATGTAATGAGGGCACTTGAGAGATTACTCTTTGTAATAAATTCATTAAGGTCTTCTTGTGTTTTGGATATTGCCCATTGTGTCTCATTGTTATCCTTATTTCCTTCCACTTGGATTGAAATTTTATTTTTGCACGAAAGGACCCCAGAGAGGAGTTTCTATCTTGGCGTCAGCTAATAGAAATCTAAATGAATATAAAAGTATACATGTAAGTGTATCTATAGCCAGTTTTGATGTTCAGCTACACTTTTTTGCACCTCTTTTGAGTTTTTTTTATCTATCCTGTTTGATTTATTGAACTTTCTCTTCACATATCAGCTCATTTAAAGATTGCCTTCCAATCATTTTCTGTCCGTCAGTTCATTAACTTTAATTTCAGCTCTGCACCATCTGAAAACACTTCACATACCTGAGATTTATAGTGTTAACACTTTATAATTTTCATCTCATAACAGTTTGTGGCTCTTTTAACAGTGAGTTAACTTAATGGGGATGTGCACAGATTAAAATGAATGAATTAATCTTTATCTACAGCCCTATCCTCATTCCTCCACAGAAGTAGATGGCACTCATTCAAAGTAAGCACAAAGTCTGTGCCTCTGCCTCAATTTTATGTATTATTTTATCAAAATAACAGTCAGACGATGCTTAACTCCTTGTCCTTGAGACTCCATGTTGGTGAGTTTGTTTCTGTTATTGTGAATTATGACCACGGCCTCTGCTGTGGATAATGGCACATAACATTACTAATTCATGCCCTGGAAGGATAGATGTGGTACAAGCTCCTCCTGAGTATTGTCCATCTGTTAGCTGCCCTACTGTACACACTGATGTAATGTGTGAGTCCTCAGGAGGCGCGCTAATAGCTGTCCATGTGTTAGCGCTTCACACTGTTTATCTGTGTAATAACAGTACCGTTAATTATAATTAGTGCCTTGTCATTGGAATGTGATTTATCCGTCCCTGAAGCAGTGCAAGGTAAACAGCGGGTTAAAGTGTGACCTTACTGGTTTTATTTGATCACCCCTGTGCTGACAGCAGTTCACCCTCTCACAAGACACCTCTAACATGGGAAAACCTAACATCTAATTGCTCCCAATAAGACACTTTATAATCTGCCTCCGAGGACTGCTGTACACATCATTTTACACAAAGCTGCAGATAATTTAATTTCCACCTAGGGAGCTTTCAGCGTTTGCCTGTAATAGAAAAGGGAGATTGCTGCCAGATTTCCAGCACAAGTGCCTCTGTATCACTATGATCATGAAAGTGAAGCAGCAAAATCATTTTCTCCTTATTGATTACTCTTCCTCTGAATAAGCAGAGGGCTGTACTTAAGTTGTCCAAAAATCCTCTAGGCAGATTTAGATACTACAGAGCAATTTGTGATGCTTTTATCAATCCTTTGCTCACCTTTAATCTTAAACTTTGTAATTTTCAACAGCGCACAACCTGTTAGGACTTAAATGTATCCATAACTTGTGCAAACCCAATTTAAATTACCTTTAAATTGAGCACATTACACACTGTGGGTGATACCTATATATTATGCTGCTTCCATCTGTCACCAGATGCTGTAATTGATGTAGCACTGAAAGCTGGGGAAAAAAAAAAATACAACTCCCCTCTCCAAACATAAATTATAAGGAAAAGGTGTTAGACTCAGCTGTCATTTAATGAAATGCGATGAAGTGGATCAGCTGCAGACACTTTACATAATAATTTTCTTTGGTGGAAGGATAATTCTCCGTTTCACAGTCTGAGAAGCAATGCATCAGAGGACTATTCTGCATAGACAGATAATAACATGCTCTATCATGTACTGTAATGCTCCAGAAAGCTACACATGCAACATCTGATCATCTCTGGGGACTGTGAATGTGTGGCTCGTTTCCCATCTTCAGCTTAAAAAACACACAGCTGCTACAATAGACTGCAGTGTGGAGGGGTGTCTCACTTTGATCTTTAAATACCCTCTAACGTTAAGGCACGCTCATTGGCTTTGATTTTTTTTTCTTTTTTTTTTCCACAACTGCGAGACAAAATGCAGACGCTCCCTTGAATCTCCCCTCTATGTGGCTCCAGCACAGCAGAGAATGCGAGAACACCTATCCTGTCTTTTTTATTTTTTTCTCCCTCTCTCTCTTCCTCCAGCACCACCACCATCTGTCCCTTTCTTCCATTTCATGTGCTTGAGCAGTATCCACACCCCTCTCATAGCAACAGCACAGCGCCGCCGCCCCCCGCGCCTTGCAGTGGATTTTTCTTCCCCTGGATCTTCGCCTCGCACCATGCAGACGGTCCCTTGGCCCTGCCTGACGGTTCAGTGTTCCCCCCTCCCCCACCAGCCGTGCTCCTGTTTCACTCAAAGATGGCGTAGGCTCTAGAACCCCTGGTCTGTGGCTGCATTTTCAGGGCTTGTTGTTGTCTCCGTTTCGCACGGTTTCGGCACCTTCTCCTCGGCGGCTCGACACGAAATTCCGGTGAGTAGCAGCGGCGGCAGGATGTGTACATACGGGTTATTTTTTTTCTTTGAAGCGGGGCTGCATTGCCCGACATTCCCCCTTTTGGAAACCAGAACCAGGACCCGCTCGAGCTTTCAGGGGGGAACCGCGAGAGGGAGAGGGAGAGAGGGGTACGGAGGGATGGTGCTCGGCGGAGGTGGGTGGGGGGGTTATGGAGGAGGGGGGGAGCCGCGGCCTAGCTACTCGGCTCCAGCGGCCTTGTCTCTCTCTCCGCACCGCAGGCTGGAGCGTTACGTGGGAGGGCGGCTGGTTGGAGGGAGGAAGTCAGCGAGGAGGGGACGCGTCTGAGCGGGCATGGGCTCGGTGCTAACGGCGCAGGCTGAGAGGGAGGCCCCAGAGCATGTAACTACTGCAGAATCCGAGATCTCTATTCCTGCACTTGCCCGCTAGCAGAGATGGCCGTCTGCAAGTTGCATTGTGCCTTTTTACAAGGCCGCGGTCTTACGTTAATATATAAATGACATTCAGACAGATTTTATTCACTGTGTTTCTGTTGTGTTGTGTTTTTCTGCGGGCTGATATCTCGTCTAAGCGGGACGGTGTTCTCTCTTCGAGCCGGGGGGCGCTGGCTAACCTCTGGTTTCATGCTGTTTAGCGAGTAACGTTAGTAACATAAAGGTAACGCTAGCTCCTTTTGGGTTAGCTTCTAACGTTAGCGTGCTAAACAACAGCTGTTAGCGGGAAGGCTTGTTGTCAGATACTTGGCTGACTAATAACACATCAGTGAGAGTAAACAACACTCCAGGAAACAGTCTGGCGATGCGGCAATCAACTTAGCTTTGATTTTTGGCTAGCCTCGGAGCTAATGTTTGCTAACAGTCTGTGTTTTGACTGCATCATGTTTACGTTAGCAGCCCATCCAGCCCACTGGTCAACCTGCTAGTACTGTTTAGATGTAGTTTTGTTTACATTGTGTATACTCTATCGCTTACGGCAATATTCCTCGAGGTTCTACACTCGTTCTGTTACAGCTTTGAATGGCTGAAGGGTTTTCAGTGATATCAGTGAACGTGGAAATTGCATGCCTGTGAACTAAAATAGTTGTAAAGTTCAAACGAGGTGTCTTTAAAGGGATTATACGTGTTGTATTAAAAGCCTAGTTAATTCTGAGTATGTTTGTTATAGCATGGCTTAACCTCGTGTGCTTGATAAGGGAATGCATGGCTTTGTTTATACTGTCACCTGCCACAACATTTTGGATGCCTGGGCAACCAAATACAACAGCTCTACCTTGAAATCTACTTTATGCTCTTCAATTTTGGATTTTTTGTTTGTCTTCAACAATAAGTGTAAAGCATAATAATCGCCTATCTGTTCATGTCAACAAAACCTGAATTTGTTAGAGTAAATGTGTGGTAGAGCTGCTGTATTAAGTTGCATTTGGTTGCACAGATGTTCATAATACTTGAGGCTTTAGTACAATTCCTCGAGGTTCTACACTTGTTCTATGACAGCTTTGAATGGCTGAAGGGTTTTCAGTGATATCAGTGAACCTGAAAATTGCATGCTCGTGAATTGAAATAGTTGTAAAGTTTGAACGAGGTGTCTTTAAAGGGATTGTATGTGTATTACTGAAAGCCTGGTTGATTCTTAGTATAACCCCGTGTGCTTGATAGGGAAATGCATGGCTTTGTTTATACTGTCACCTGCCACAACATTTTGGATGCCTGGGCAACCCAATACAACAGCTCTACCTCAAAATCTACTTTATACTCTTCAATTTAGAATTTTTTGTTGATATGGTCAGACAGGTGATTTTGAAGTCAGTTGCATTAAGTTGTTATTCATATATATCTTCCAATAAAACATACTCCACAGTGTCTTTAACAATAAATATGAAGTATAATAATCGCTTGTCTGATCATGTCAACAAAACCTAAATTCGTTCGAGTAAATGTGTGGTAGAGCTGCTGTATTAAGTTGCATTAGCGTCCACGGATGTTCATAATGCTGTTGCAGGTGAATGTATTAATGCTTGCATCTTTATCCACTTAACACAGCCTCGATTCAGTGCATGATGCATATTATATGTTATTAGACATTGTTTGTAATTTGCAGATGACGATGCAGGTAGATTTTTATTCATAAAGTCAAAGAGTGAAAACTTCCATCCTAACCCTGTACTCTTTTATATCGGCTCTACTGGGGACCCTGTTGCAGACCTCTTAAATTGTAGCTGAGTTTTGAAGTTCTGAATTTAAAATTTTTCTTGTATTTGACAATCTCTTTTAAAAAACAGTTGGCTGTTGTGATATCTGTATGTTTTCCTTGTTACTTGAAGGGTATTTTTATCTCACTAAAACTTCTTTTTTTAAATAAATTTTGAACAAATAAAGTTGAACAAATTTTGAACAAATAGCCATGACCGTATAAAACAGATAGTTCTTATTTCCCTCAACATCACAAGACGTTTTAACTCGTTCTTGAAGTTTTTGCTAACCCCTGTTTCTGTCTGTCTTTTATTCTCTTGATTTTCTGCAGGATTTCTCGTCTACCAAAGTGCTAAAGGCATGAAGGTGATCAGTCCTGGCTGCTCCCTGTGGTGAGATATCTGTTCCGTCCCAAAGCTGAAAAGCCAAGACTGCATGAAGAGTGAAGGACAGTAGGAGAGGAAGAAGAGGAGAATAACACGGAGGAAAAAAGAGTCTTGTGGATTACTGTAATTCATTGAAAACTCACTGTTTTGACTTCATCTTTGTTTTTGAGGCACTTATTTCATATCTTGGAGACATGACCATCTTCCAGAACTTGCATTGAGACTCAGCTAGTTTGCCAGTGACTGTTTTTAAATAACTACTTATAGGTATTTTGCCACTGGCTAAGAGGGGAACACCTCCTCAGAAGTTCCTCTGACCAGGATCTACTCTACCCTACCTTGTGTATTGCGGGAGTTTAACTTGCTACACTTACCTCTTCCTTCACCCCCCCTGCTTCTTGCCAGGGACATTCACCTGGCTGGGAGTGGGTGGTGGGTAGATTGTATTTTATCGGGTGGAGGGTTGGTAGGGGTTTGTGCTATGGTCAGCTGCTCATTACCGTGCTGCTCATACTCAGCTTCTGGGGGACTCTCTGTACGACCCCAGGACAAGGGATAGTAAGCAGGCAGAGGGCAAAGAGCAGGAGGAGGCGGCGCTACGGCGCAGGCCAGGTGTTCCTTGGCTAAAAGTATCTTTTTTTGTGTGTGTGGTCATTGCGGTGAGGCCCCTGGGTCCCCGCACACACTCAAACCACAGCCATGGTTAAACTGGCAAACCCAATGTACACACAATGGATCTTAGAGGCCATCAAAAAGGTAAAGAAACAGAAGCAGCGACCATCAGAGGAGCGCATTTGCAATGCCGTCTCCATGTCCCATGGCCTGGACCGCAAAACGGTTCTGGAGCAGTTAGAGCTTAGTGTAAAGGATGGCACCATCCTAAAAGTCACCAACAAAGGTCTCAACTCCTACAAGGACCCAGACAACCCCGGGCGCTTGGCTCTGCCCAAGCCCAAAAGTAGTGGCAGCTCTGGAGGAGGTGGTGGTGGAGGAGGAGGTGGAGGTGGGGGCAGCAGCAGCGGTGGCGGCGGCGGTGGAAGTTCTCATTCCCATTCAGGGAAGAAACCAGGACTCGACTGGAACAAGCTGATCAAGCGGGCTCTGGAGGGACTCCATGAGCCGGGCGGCTCCAGCTTAAAGAACATTGAGCGCTTTCTCAAATGCCAGGCCGATGTGGCGGCCTACTTATCGGGCAGCGGCTCTATGGGGCCCGGTCTCTTCCACCAGCAGCTGAGGGTGGCCCTGAAGAGGGCTGTGACTCATGGGCGTGTGGCCAAGCAAGGTCCGCTGTTCCAGCTCATCAGCCGCAGCAGCTCTCTGGACGATGGGACTGGGACAGTGTCCCTCGAATCTCTGCCACCGGTCCGGTTGTTGCCTCACGAGAAAGATAAGGTATTGTACCGCACGCACGCCTGCCAAAAACATGTCAAATTATCTGTATAATTCTGGACCACCACACATTGATCAAATACATCAGATTGCAAACATCTGTTCACATTTGTTATTTGGATCATTTGCATGTCGAACTGATGTGATACACACACTGTAGATACTGCTGACTACTGTGGAGAGTTCTGACATCCTACTTGTGTGGAATGATAAATTGGTGTCAGGCACTTTGGTACGCTTTGTCTGTGAGGATCACTGTTGTTGTCAGAGCTGTTTCAGAAGAGTCTGCAACAAGGAACAGGATGTACTCCTAGTTTTATAACTTTTTGAAACAAAAAAAAGAAAGATTAGAGAGAAAAACCCTTTCTGAGGTTGTTTGTTTTACACAACACAGAAGCCTGTCGTATTACAGCTGCTGCACAAACAAGACAAGACGATCTAGAGTCATCCTCTGAGAATACTGGAGACATGAACACTGCATTTTCTGTGCTTGTTTCTGTAGGTCATGGCCTATAAGGCTGTGATTTCCTACAGTACAGTGAGTCCTTTAAGAATTGAAAAGGTAGTTTTGTATGATAGAATATTTAAGTTATTTTTGAACAGGCTGAGAAAGGTTGGGCGATTGTTGAAATCAGACAGGTGGCAGAGTGAGCATCTTAGTGTTACAGATAGGGCTGGGTGATAAACTCAATTACTATTTTGGCTCCCCACAAACATGAAGACAAAATAACAGCGATTACATGATTACTGTGTCACTTTGAGCTTATTTTGGTCTATGTGGTAAATAAAGCTCCAAACAGGACTCACTTCAACTTGTATTGACAATGAGGAGGAGAGGGAGCCACATACAGAGCCAGACTTTGAGTTGTAGTAGTAGTAGTAGTAGTTGTGATCTTATAATCTTGAAATCAATATGATTATTATTATAATTTTTGCCGTAAAGGGGCAGCACTGGTTTAACATAATATCGATTTGTGGCAAAGACCAAGTAGATTCGAGTTTGACGGACAGCACAGAATAAAATTTGCTAGAGTAAGATCTTATTAGCAGAAGCCAAGGGTTGAAGTTTGCTCCGGCCCAGGGGAGCTCTACTCGAGGGAAGCCGGTTAGGCGTGTAGTGGGCCCGTTTTTTAGCAGCATTGGTGGAGGAGGAGGTCAGGGAAGAGAGTCACATGGCTCCCAGCCTCCTGCAGGGAGTGTGGACCAGCTGCAGGGCTGCTCCCTGTCAGGAGCTGTCAGGAGATGGAAGGAAGAAAGGAAGACAGAGAAAGAGAGGGAAGGGAAGGAACTCAGACAAGAGTGAGGGAGAGAGTAGTCTGTAGTGGTGCCAGAGGAAGAAGCCTGGATGACGCAAGCCAAGGGCTTCTGTAACCAGAAAGCAGGAGCGAGGAGCAGACACAGAAGGAGAAGAAAGCGGGAGAGACAGAATGAGTTAGGAGAGAGAGGGAGAGGCAGACATGCAGGCGACAGAGGAGAGAGGGAACACACCCACTTCTGTAACCTGATCAGAGAGAGCAGCCGGCTGCTGCCCTCTGCTTCTAAGGGCCACAGACATGCACACATAGGAGCGTACAACGGCGTACAACACAACAAGCACAGAACGGCGCACACAGACATTAACACCGGACCAGTAAATTCTGCCACACGACCGAACACACCCACACTGTCCGCATGTCATGAATCCTCCGCGTCAGATAAGTGCAGACATGCAAACACACGTTCTAACAACGAACACATAAATAAACCCGTAAGAGTTACACACGGCGGTGTGTGCCAACATAGTAGCCTATCATTGGGTCATATATCACTCAGGTTATCAGACAGCCAGCTGATCTCGCAGACACAAGAGCAACCCTAAACACTGTTTTGACTGGCTGCTGGCTTTATCTGGCTGTGCGTGGGCGTGTGTGTAAGTGTGTGTGTGCGTATGCAAGTCTGTGTGGCACCAGAAGCTCCTGGTGAAGACCCGCACACACATACACACACACACTTACACACACACACACATACAAAGTAGGATTAGCCTAGAGAGCAGGCTGGAGTCACATGGGGTCTGCCTAACACAGTGACCTGCTTGGCTGCAGATGGCCCACCTCTTAAGACAAGCGGAGATCAACCTCCGCTTTTCGGTGACTCAGACACAGATCAGCCTCACAAAAACACACGAAAAGACAAACATAATGAGCAACAGGAATTAGCGGTGTAATAGCACAAAAAATAGCTTTGATACAGGTGTTGGTTTTGAAGTCTGTGCTCGGTACATTTTCAGTAAAGTGCATATAACTTATTTACCTTTTTTAAGTTCAAGAACTTAATGCATTGTCTAAAACAATTGTACCATTATTTATCTATAAAACATAAATATCTTAGGGGTTAAAGGAGCAGTAAAAAACTATTACAGCCGTGAAGAAGTGCTCATTTGTGGTGGGAACGCACACAAGCCTCTCCACCTTTCTATTGTGGTGTTACCGTCTTTAACTCTCGAGAGGATGCAACAATATTGCCGCTCGATCATGTGTGTTTTGCACCGACTGTAGGTGTGTTTTTGATGTGTGTGATAGTCGGCGCCTGTGCAAGTAGCATATGCGTCAAGGAGATCATAACCGTGCACAAGAGAGACAGTCTGGTGTGTGTGTGCGATCGCTCTCCGCTGCACTTCTCCGTGTCCATTGATGCATCATTGCCTTATTGCCCGGCATGATTGCAAACAGTTATGACTTCCCAAGGAACGAGGAAGAGCGAGAGTGTGTAAGTGAAGGCTGGAGGAGAGGAGGGGAGGGGGAGGAAAATCAAAACAAATGGCTGCGGACTAGCTCTGACCCCATTCGTTGGGAGATTTGTGTACTCAACATGCTCATGTTTGTGTCAGAGCGCTCCATTCAAACGGGATCCCAGACCCTATTTCTGTCTCCCCCTCTCTCACCCTAATAGGGTGCCATTGCCAGGTCATGAAGGGGGAGGTGAATGGGGGAGTGAAGTCAACCAGGGGTCATGGATATATGGATGGCAAACCTCATTGCCTCCCTGAGCGCCCGTTAGCAGTATGAGGCTACGACCATTAGGTGGGATGGGCTTGACGCTGAGCTTTTGTGTGTGTATATGTGCGGGTATATCGTTGTTTGTGTGTGTGTGTGTGTGCGTATGATGTTCATCCCGTCATAATAGAGAAGAGCAATCTCCCTGCCCTGCAGTTGCCCTCTTTTCAACAGCTGGAGTGGGGTGAACCAGAGTTCTCGATGTCGATGTGCAGTGTCACGGTGAGGACGTGTGAAAAAAGTCACTTGTGAACAACACACACATTATCCACTCGTGTTGTGCACATGGTGTTAAGATTGTGTTGATTTCCCTCCTAAAATGTCCCACTGACCTTTAACAGACAAACATCCAATGGTTCCTCTGCTGGAAATCGCAGACCTCTTGCATTCGGCGACTCTTATTAGGAGCCATAATGGATATATATGTTGTCCTGTAATTTTTTCATTCTGCATGTGTTGTATCGACCCCCAACAATTATCCACACACACTCATTAACTCAACGTGGAGACATCATGTATTTCCACTCGGAGGACTGTGGCTACAGGATTGCCTCACGTATTAATTATGTGCTGTGGGTGCAGCATTCTTCCCCGTCCACCCCCCTGTTGCTGCTCCATCACTTTGTGGAGTCAGAGGAGATGATTTTGTGTTCGGGCTGCCTGGGTGTAAGAATTCACCACTTTGCCACAGGAATGCTGGGAAAATGACTAAGCTGGTAGCCATGAAATGCCGTCCTCTGACTAGCGTTGTCAACCTCCCTGAAAAAAGTCTGTTTTTGACTCTTCTAGAAGTAGGTGAAGCTGGCAGAAGTTGTTTGACTCTGAGTGTATTTCTTTGATTTTCGTCTTTTGTTTTCTTGTTGCCTGAAGCCGGGCTGTAGCTGACAAATTATAAGTTCCTTGACTGTAATGGCTTGTTCCACTTTCTGAAGGCACCAGCTGTAACCTCGTGCTTGGCTGCTGCCACAGACCCACTTCTTGTTTGACATTTAATGGCGCTCACAAGTGGAAAGAATGGAAAAGCTGAAAAACAGTTTTGGAGATTTCACACAAAGCGTAATACTTCTTGTCCTACCTCTTGTGGCCTTTTTATTTTGTGTGCACCTTCGAAGTGATCGGTCTTCGTTCTGCTTCCAACACAAACATAACCCTGTGGATTAACGGTCGGGTAGAGAAAAATTACTTTGACATCTTAATATGAGAATTGTGTCACCAGAAACTGTGTCTGTAATCTACTAAAAACACTCAACAGACTGAGGAACAAAACTGTAGGTCCTTTTTAAAACCAAGGGTTAGTGTAACTGATTCATAGTCCAGCTGGTATTATTATCTAATACGAGCCAAAAACCACTATATCAGCATCTATCTGTTCTTTTTCTATTGCACACTTATTATATTATGCAGAACATGTTGTGCAGAAAGAGTCTTTGTAAATGTTGTCATCACTTACTCTGTTCAGAAAGCGTTATCAACCCTCTGCACAGTTGTAACACTTACTACACATAGGGGTGTCCTGACACGACATTGACATCAGATATTGGTCCGACATCAGCAAAAAAATGAATATTGGATTATATCAGCCTACATCTAAAATCTCAGATATCAGCACTCCGAAACAAGCAGTCCATTCCAGTCTCCGCCTTGGCACCTCTATCGAGCAGCGCCCTTATCCAGCATGAAGAGCCCACAAAATCACAACAACAGTGTGTATTAAGGTACTAACAAAGTAGCAAAGTAGCAAAGAGTAGCAAAGAGTTGGAGAGATGTCGGCCATGTGGCAGTATTTTTTGTTTAAGTCCGAAAAAGACATAAATAATGATAATAATGCATCAGATTTCATATAGCGCTTTATCAGAGACCCTCAAAGTGCTTTAAATTGGATAAATGATTCATTCGCTCACACAGTCACACCCTGGTGGTGATAAACTACCTGCCCTGGGGCAGACTGAGGGGAATGTGGCTGCCTGTCTGCGCCTACGGCCTCTCCGACCACCACCACGCAACACTCACAATTAAACACCAGTGGAGGACACACACTGGGAGCAAGGTGGGTTAAGTGTCTTGCCCAAGGACACAACGAACAGACTCGGGATAGGGGGAATCGAACCGCCAACCTTCTGGTTATTGGATGACCGCTCTACCTCCTGAGCTACTGCCGCCACAATTGCTTGGATCAATATCGATATTGGCCGATACTGAAGGCTACAATATTGTTATCGTATAGAAGTAAGAGAGTTGTATCAGGACACCCCTAATTACACAGTATCATAGCTGAGCTGACAGCCCACACTGGAATTAGCTCACTCTAGGGATGCCCTAATCAGCTTGACCAGCGCCAATTAGCACTGGTCTATTTTTGTTGTTGTAGTAAATGAACTAAAAGAAGTCTTCAGATTATTCCGTTTGACTAACTCCAGCTAGTATTGTTGTAAAAATCACATAAAATCAGAACTCTGCTCTGAATGCTGTGATAGTTGAAGTGAGGCAGCGGCTGAACAGTCATGTAGACACACTAGGACAAATGATAACCAAAAACCTGAGTCCTCTACCTCAGAGATTGTTTTTTATGTTTCGAAGCGATGAACTTAAACACTTCCTTTGTAATCTTTTTGGGCATGTTACACTCTCAAGCACAATTATCTTTCCTTTTAAAGTGAAAATTTTAGTCAAAGAGCTGTTCTCTGGTGCCTGTTTTAAGATGTTTTGTTAAATTGATGGCATTGAAAGTGAGTCTAGGATTGTTCCCACAAATTGTTCTCATTTTACAATAGCTGACTAGATGATTCGAGTGAGATGATCGCTTCCAAACAGCTGTTCCCCAGTCCGCATATAGTCATTCTTCCTCCTCAGTACCTGAATATCTCTAAAATGTCCTGTTTTGCTCGTGTTTGGCTTCAGATTTGCTCGTCGTGTGTCCCGTTAGCGCAGGTGTCTCCCTTTGACCCAACTGGCTGCATTAAAAAAACAACCAGGAGCAGCCGCAGCTCGCCAAGAGTCTATAGAAACAGCATTAGCAGAAGTGTCAGCACCCAGGGGGAGCAGTTACCTCGAGCTCACCAGCGACTCTGATGTGAATGGCTTTTGGCACGGGAAGTGTAGCTGTGTGAGGCCGCGCGTATGGCTAACCTTGCCGCCTCGCAAATCGAGCCAATGTGTTGAGCAGCTGTGGAAGTGACGGCTGGAGCGCGGCCAGCCCCGCTCCGTTTGATGCAGTGATTTAGCTCCGTGCTCCCTGGCTAACCTCGCTTTTAATGGAGGTTGATGCGCCGCTGAAAGGAGGGCATGTTGGCACGACACAGGGTCCTCCTTAGGCTGGGTGTAGATGTTGACTTGAAATGCAGACCGGGTTATTTTACAGCATCTGAACTTCAAATGGCAGGCTGACTCTTACAAGTGTCGGACATCTGTGCATATTTTTTTTTACCCTCTTTCATGAAAGTTTGACCGTCTGAGTTTCTAACTACCGGAGCATTTATTGAACAATCGATCAATGAGTTTGTGTTCAAGGTGGGGGCAGTCGTGGAGGAAGTGCAGCAGGGGGATGTGGAGATCAGCCTCCCATGTTAATGAGATCCTTGACTTGAGACCAAACAAGGACAACAGCAACACTTTCCTCTTCTTTTTTCCCTCCTTTGCCTTTTATCTCCTCTCCCCCTCCCCCTTTCCTCCCCCTTCTCCATTTCTCCTTCCCCTTTCGCCCTTCCTCTATTGTTCCCGCTTTCCTGCTTCACTCTCATGTCCTACGTCTCTGGATAACAGGAGCTGGTTTATAAAGGGGAAACTAGGCCACTGCTAGTTTGTTTTTGAAACCTATTATCTGGCTTACAAGGTCTCATACAATGCCGTACACGGTGTCTTGAGTATTAACTCCAGCCCGTTGAAACCGAAACACTACAGGATATGTTTTAAAATGTGCATAAGTGATCCATAAAGCATGGGTGGGTGTGTCGGCCGGGTCATGCAAGGGCACTCTTACTAGTCCACGGGTGTGTGTTTGCGTAGGCGGTGCATTTTTGCAGGAACCTTTAACTTGTAAGACATGTTTGTAAAGCATTTCATGTCGGCCCAGTCGGTGCAGCTAGTTGCTAACGGTTGCCACAAGGCGTGTCTTCTTGGCTCTGAAGAAGGTTTTGTTCCAGGATCCTCCTTAACGTTTTGGAAAAAAAACGAGGAGCCCATGCCAAAACATGAACACACGGGCTTAAAATAGACGCGCACGCCTCCACAGACACTCACACACACACAAACATCGTAAGTCAAATGTCGGCCATGATACCTCGCTCAAACAGCCAGTGGATGTGAGAAATTTCTAGAGTGCCGCTCTGGTGTAAGAGCAGTCCTGGCAGCCGGCGCTGGCAGAGGTAAAAAAGACCGAAACGGGGAGGGAAAACGACTCTCAGGAGGAATTTGAGGATTGTGTTTCGCCGTCCCAATATCCCTGTCATGGAGGGGGGGGATTAGCTTTTCATTTTTTAGTATCTGGAGGGGATTAATTTACAGTGGCAGCCAGTAACTGAAGCTGCACTGTAACGTGTGTCTCTATATAAGCTGTCTGTGTGTGTGTGAAAGGCAAGCTCACTCGCCCGCTCCCTCCCTCTCTCCCTCCCGCTCAGCTCGTGTTTACTCGAGCGCACACTGAGCTGAGCGGGAGCAGTTGACCTCCTCCAGCAGGGAGAGGGTTAAACGTCAAGGAATGATTGAGGTGCTGGTGGCACGCAGGCTGCTCAGAGGACTACCGCTGCAGATTTCTCTGTTTTTACACTTTCCGGTTTTTTTTGCCCTTTGGATGCTTATTTTCGTCCTCGCTCTGTCTTTTCTTCGAGCAGCTTCTTCTTCCTCTCTACTCTTACGACGAGACTGCTGGTTCTGTTTGCAGTTCTCTTCGACATGACATCAGATCATGTGGAGATTAGGAGTAATTAGTTTTAAAATCCAACAGTTAAATCTGTTACAATCACTCCTCTACGTAATCCTACCTCTGAGAGCCGTACATGTTTTCACAAATAAAGAGCCGGTCTGTATCTTCGCCTCTGCGCCCTGCATTTCTCTGCTTATCTGCTTTTCATTCTTTACAACCCTCCTCTCTCTGTTTACCTCTCTCTTTCCCCCACTACCTCACTCCATACCTTTTTGTTTCTCCTCCTCTCTCTCTCTGTGTCCGTGCGCCGTTAGCAGGCAGGGTAGAGGTGAAGCGGGAGGTGTTTGAAGCAGCCTGAGTCAGAAGGAAATGAACCCAATAAATCAAGCTCTTGTCCCTGTCTCCTCCTTGCCAGGACCCGCTGCCTCTCTGGCTCTCTGCGGCTCTGTGCATTTACACCATTGTCATGTGGAAAACCTCGTACCTCCCTCCTTAGCGATTGTTTCAAGTGTAGATGTTCCGCTTTGAATAAATAATAAAAAGATGTCTGAGGGGAATTTTATGACCTGAGATGTGAGTACACTTCTGTCATATTGGCTGCTACCCAGCATTACGTTGGTTTGAGGTATGTGGTAGAAAAGACATTTTTTTCTGCACATAGCTACCCGTTGGAGTCCTATCTAGGTTTTCTGGAGCTAAGACAGATTATAACCAAAATGCATTTCTAGTAAAAACACCAATCTCTCTGTAGAAATGCAGAATTTGGAATATAACAGACTCTAACATCTTTGTTTACTCCCGTTTCTGATGTTGAAGTATGTTTTAAATAAAGTAATTACTAAAGGCATGTTAACAGTTAACCAACTACTCTTACAGTTATGTCACAGCCATGTGATTTGGAGTCATTCAGATAGTGTTGTGGGCGGGACAGTAGGTGAGACAGACTGGTGACTGAAAATAGACTCAGAGGGAGAGACGTACTGGCAGTGGAGCAGAGGTGGCACAAACTGATTTCACCAACGATCTGTAAAATAAAACTCTGATATAGATACCAGCCCAGATGATCAGCCAAGGCTACTAACTAGTACATCCTTAGTTGGTGTGATTTTAAACAGCAACAGTCCAAAATAAACAAAAATGAAACCAAAAATTAACTCCTTGGCCTCAAAAATGGTTGTTTTGGTGTTTTGGACTTTCAGCTCTCTCTCAGCTTTCAGACACCAAACAAAGACGATCATTTAACTCACAGTTAATGGTAATGAATGACAAAATAATGTGTAACTGTAAATGTGTAAATTTATATCCAAGAGGAGTTGAGTTCTGGTGTGCCTGCAGAGAAATCATCTCTACCTGTATTTTCAATGTTTCGTACTTTTCATGTCAGTTTTTGAGGGTCAGTCACTTTACAGACTAATAAACTAATAAAAAGCATAAAACCAGGTGACATACCTGTCTCTGTCTCTCCTGTTATCTCAGACCTTCTGCAGTAGACATAATCATAATATGTGTCTTTTAAAGCACCTGGCAAACTTTGTTCTCAGACCTGTGAACGATGAGAGTCAGCAGTGCAGTGAGTGTGATGGAGGGCAGAGCAGAGAGACACACAGCAGCCAAAAAGTGCATTTTAGACTGCAAACAAGTACAATGTGGGACCTTTCTTTACATTTGTGCGAAGTGGTGTTTGAGTCTTTTCATTCTTTAAAGTTGGCACACAGTTCCTCTGACCAGTGTTAACTTTTGGAAACTTAACTTTGTGTAAATCGAGCACTTTTAAAGTTCATGTGCTTGCAGGAGAAAACAACAAGTGGTTCGTTTTTATGAATAAAGAGTTTTTCAAACCTATACTGTCTACAGAGATTAATCATCAAACTTTCTGCAAAGACTGACATTTGTAGTGAACTATCTCAGTGTTTTGAAACACACACTAATCATCATTTAACCACAAAACTTTCCCCTCATGAAGGACAATAAACAGCTGGCTATCTCAGCCTCAACAGAACACACGCTCTGTAAACACAGCAGCACACTCATCTGTTCTGAGCACAGCCTGTAAAAGTGAAAACAGTCCTCCACTTAAACTCTTCAAACCTGGCAGAAGATGCTTGTTTGAAGGAATGTTGTTAGTGTAACTTTTGCGCAGCATTAAAAGGATTTGGCTCCGCTAAGCTTGGAAAAACATAAATCCAACGCTTACTCCCTTGTCTTTCATGGCATGAAGAGTTTTCGTTGTAGGTATTGCAGGGTGTGAAAACTTTGCAGTGCAACACAAAAGTGAAAAATAAAAAAACGCTCTGGATTTTTCCACCAGCCCGCGCAAAAATGGAGATGTGAGAGCTGTGTCACGGGGCAAGTCGTGTCATGTTTTTAGGTTGGACCGTCAGTGAAGAATGGTTTTCAGGTCCTGCTTCAGGAGGATTTCTGCATTCAGGCTTGTCTGTTTCAGGACGTTATTGTATCCAATGTTCGCTCTACAGTTAGTTCTGTGTCATCTCTCTTATTCTCTGCACCTGTGCTCAAGTGATGAAACTGCCGTCAGTGGCATGTTGCATGGAAACCAAAGCACCGTGTAACCAATGTAAAAATTAGTGCTGGTAGATAGTGTGGGAGCTAAACTAAGTGTAACAGCAAAAGCCTCTTTTACATTCCACATAAACATCAGCCCAGATGTCATGTGATCTCTACATAGTGGCTTTCTCACTGCTGCTCAAACATAAAGATGTAAATGTGGAGGCAGAAACGCAAAAAAAAAAATCACTTCAACAAATACGAGCTTTACAGTCCAGCTACAAACGCTGAGTAATCTTTTTCCCTCCAAAATCGACATCAAACAGACTTGGGGATCAAAGAGAACTTGGCACATTTTCGTTCTGTGTCATGAAGGATTAAGTTGTAGTGTGATGTGTTTCAGCTAATGTTCCTACTTGAAACACCACCTCGAACAAAGGAGGAGTTCCTCTGTTTTATTGGTTTTGTAAATGTTAGGCTAGGGCTGGGAGATAAACCGAAAACGTACCGATACCAAAATTTATGACAATAACCAACGTCATTTTGCCCAAATCGGTGTATTCGCTGTCAAAAAAAAAATACATAAAAGTTGGGTTTGGATGTGTGTAGGTAGGCTATGGTCTCGTGCCTACGTCAGAGATGTGACTTCACCCCATCCAGTCTGTAACAAAGAGGGAAAGACAGGTGAGGAGATGGAGGACAGTTCAAAAGTTGTAGCGGCTGGAGCGGCGGCTGAAGTAGACGGAGTTTAAGTGGGAGGGGGTGAGCAGCTTGTGGAGTAGTTATCGTCCATTTATCGTTATCGAGGTGACCTGCTCAATATATTTTGACATTGATTTGAGGCCATATCGCCCAGCCCTACATTACACTAATTTTTTTCAGTCCTCGATACTTATCATACAAAATGTTTAGAAACCAACATATGATCATGATCGGTTTAAGGGCGCCCATAGTCAGGGTTTCTACACAGTTGGAATTTCCATACCCTCATTTTTTGTTATTTTTGGACATACCTTCTTTTCTATTTTAGAAAACAGTTTTTTAGAACTGTGGTTATAGCCTGGAAACACAAATATTTTCCCATACTTTATTTTTCATTTTCCATACTTTTGAAAACCTGGAAATTGATCAAATTTATTTCCATACTCGCGTAGGAACCCCTGCGTAGTGCCAGTCTCAGGGTCTGTCTTTTCCCTGTTGTTAAACCCCTGTGATGTTGATAGTCATAACCATGACAGCGTCCAATCAGAGAATGGCGCTCGATAAGGGAACGTGTCTGTCAGTTAAAAGACTTGTGTGAAGGCTGCTCTTGTGCATCCTCACTCCTCTGGAGATGCTTCTCACCATGGCGGGTCTGTGACTTTTGTGCGTGCTGTAAGTTACCACAGATGTAGATTAGCTTTGCAGCTAACTCTGGCTGAGCAGTTGTGTTGTTCATGCTCAAAAACACTAACTTAACTAAACTCAAGTACCTCTGGTTTAATAAAAGACTCAGAAAACATCGTTTAGGAGCTTTTGGAAATGACCTCATGACTTCTGGATACTACAGGCTGCACTGGCACTAATCTAGGCACCTGCCAGTGAACACTTGGTATTTCATCAATTTGGAGAATTTGGATCCGCTTTAAATGTGTTACTTGGTCAAAAGTAGGATTATAGGCATTCAATCCTTATGTGGTGCTACAAAAGGATTCTCATGCATTTGTCAGTGTCACAGCCCAGGTTTAAATATATTTTCATGTGTGACTTTTTAACATCCTCCTATCTGTCGTGAGGATCCTGGTGCTGAGCAGTAAACAGAAAGTGTTGCTGAAAATAACTCGAGGTAAACTGTGAAGTAGCAGTGAGCCACCTCTCTTCCCCCTCAGGGCTCTCAGGCTCCAGAAACTTTTCAAGGAGAGTCAGCCTCCCCCTGCCCCCTTTGTGTTTGTTCCTGTAAGAAGTTAACACCTGCAGAGCTTTAGGGATGTGATTTTTCAGCTTTATCGGACACTTCTATTTGACGCCCTGCAACATGCTCAATATTCTCCTGAGAACATGGAAGACGCTTGTGTGCAAATTGAGAAACGTGTCGCCTTGTTCTGTCATGATTTGTGTTTTTCGGGGTATTAAATTTGCATCTCGGACTCGGAGTGAACGTCCAGTACCATGTTTCAGACTGAGTGCCGTTGTCCTGGATTAAACCCCATTAGACATTACAACCAAAGGAAGTGAGTTACAGCCTCTCATCTAATGACAGGAGTCGGCTGAGACCTCGACACACGACGAGAGCTTCTAACATGACATGTCACATAAATTATTCAATCACACTCGTCATTATCACACATTAAGCTTTTCATTATCCTAAATTGTCTGCTCACAGATCCACTCGCTCCATAGTGTCATTGTAGTTCCCAGTCTGCGCTCGTCCTTGTTAATACACACAGCTCCACTCATTCACCGTGGCAGCGCACACAAGGCCACTTTGTTGTGTTCATTGTACAATTAAGCTGTTAAGTTGACTGACAGTCTAAACTTTCTTCCCTCTCTCCCTCATCCTTTCCCTTCTGCTCTGTCCTTCTGCCAGCCGGTGGCAGAGCCAATCCCCATCTGCAGCTTCTGTTTGGGAACCAAGGAGCAGAACCGCGATAAGAGGCCGGAGGAGCTCATCTCCTGTGCTGACTGTGGAAATAGCGGTGAGTTCTGCTTTGTGAACAGACCTAGTTTTTCCCTGTACAGAACAACCAACAAAGCACCAAAACCTAATCTTTAACCAATCAATCTGCAGAGTATAGATTTAAACCAGTCTGTAAAAGTGTCTAGAAGCTGTAGCCTTTAAGCACACCTCCTCTTTGACTCATATTTCAGTAACTCTCAACCTTTACTCACTCACTTGCATTTACAGATTTCGTAGCTCATAATATTACACTGCAGCTGTCTGTATTGTTCCCCCGTCAACTGAAAATGCGACTGCTCTCAGCATTTCCACCACACCTGGTGATTTTAATGCTCTAATCACACACACGGTAATTTCTGACGCTGCGTATAAAAATCAAATAAAAGGCTGTAAATCAGACCGATTACTGCTGACACCACAGATTGGTGAGATTACACGACTAATGCTTGTTGACTTTTGGTATGATGTGGACACATTTGCTAAATTTGGTGCAGCATATCAACTAGAGTGAAATGTTTGTATGAAATGAACATGTGTAACCCTTTTTTTCTTGTTTTTCCATTTTGAAAGTGTTTCACTCTGTGTCTGCACAATATTGGCTTTTCACTGATATTCATTGTGCAGATGCAGATATTTATTGGTGCACATAAGCTGTGATCATATTAGGGCTGTCAAAATTGCTCCAAAATGACATTTGAATTAGGGATGTTCCCAGCGGTTAATTTCACTGACGTTTAAACGACCATTTTGAAACCAAATATTTAAATACACGAAAATTAATTAACTCCCAGAAAATGGCCCAAATTGAGCATGTCGCTCTAGACGGCCAGATATCATCTGAAATTAATATTAAGAGTACATGAAAGCCATGCTTACAATATTAAAATATGTTACAGACTTTTATTTTAGTGCTGGAGAATGACATAAAGTATGTGGAAGTCTTCAGAGTCAGACATCACGTTCAACAACGTTTATTTTCTGAACTAGACTAAAACTTTGCTCTTTTTTTTTCTCACCGACATCGCTCTGGCTGATCGCATGTGTTAATTCACTCTGAGGAATTTAACCCATGATGCCATGCATGCTGCAGGCCAGCGCTGCGAGCCAGGCAGAAAGAGTCGCACGCTTACACAGCTTGCATATAACTTAATCTCGCTCAGCAATTTTTTCGTCTCCCATGTCTGCCCAAAATTCAAAGAATTTCCAAACGGAGCTTCTAAAGTTTGTTGGAGTCCAGACTGCTCGCTCGGAGTTTGGCTCCAAACATCCCTCCATCTCTCTCTGCATGTGCCACTGACGGTTTTTGTCGAGTCTCACTGCAGGTGCAGCTCCTGTGACCTTTGCCTGACCGTCGTTACAGTCCGCTCACTCGCAAAGCAGCCGCTGTTTTTTTTCCCCAATCAGTTTTTTCCTGCTGTTTATATAATATTAATATGTTAATTTTCACATTTGAATCTCGTTTTTTTTAGAAATATTTGAATATATATTTGAATTTAATATATTTGTTGACAGCCCTGGATCATATTACTTATGTGTCACATTATTAACCCTACAATATGCCAGAAAATTTCACATCTGCAAATACCAATAATTCTTATGATGTTATATACTAATGTCATTACAGGCGATACTTGTTGATCTCTGTTGATAGAGGGAATAAGGGGGGAAATGATCCATATTTGCATCATCATTTAAAAAGAAATTAGTTTGAAACGTCTTCATGTAAGATATCTGCAGAATACCATGCATCCTTTAGTGTCTGTATTCTTATAAGTGGTTTCTGAATAATTGAGCAGATCCTTCAAGCGTTACTTCCCACACATTTCAAAGTTCAGCGGAAAAGTTCAGTCGACTCTCGAGCTTGACTTTCCGAGGAATTCTTGAACATTTTTGGTCAAACGGAAACTTTTCACTGCAGATTGTCACGTCCACTTCTTTTCCCGGTTATATTTACACTGCTCCTTAAACTTTATTATGTACTTGAATCATTTCAAAGAGTAAAAACGAGCTCACTTCCTTGAGGAAATAAAGACCTTCATTGTTCGATCTAGAGTTGTTCTTTTTAGTGGTTTAGTTTTGCTATTTTGGTCTTTTTTTATTAAGATTTCTGCCGCCTTTTATGGTCAGGATGCTAAAAAAAAGATGACTAAGATGAAATATAATGACTGTAAACACAAACACTCTTCAGTTTCAGGGGAAAAAAGGACTCAGTTTTCCCCTCAAAGATTCCTTTTCTCTCAGAGGAGCTGTAATAATCGCACTGATATTGCTAAGCAGAGGAGCAGAGAAGATTTTGTTCCTCCACTTCCCTCCCTTGGTTTCTGTCCCAGACATGGCGTTCTTGTTTGCTCCTCTTCAAACGGAGCAGGAGCACCACTCTGACAGATTGTCATTTATGTTTGAACACTCTTTATGCAGCCAGGTTTGATTCAGTGAGGGCTTTCAATTCCAAAAGGAGTTTTTTTTTTTTCTCCCTCCTAAAATGATGCAAGTGGGTCACAGCTGTCAGTCAACAGCAACAAAAAAACAGCCTGTGACGTTGACTCACTCGTTTGTGTATGCCTGTGTGTGTGTCTACCTGCAGGCCACCCGTCCTGTCTCAAGTTCTCCCCGGAGCTCACAGCGCGAGTCAAGGCTCTGTGGTGGCAGTGCATCGAATGCAAGACTTGCAGCAGCTGTCAGGATCAAGGGAAGAATGCGGTGAGTGGATGAGCAAATACGTGAGACCGGCAGCCCGGCGGAGTCTGTGAACACCCCGCTTCTGCTTAAGTGCCAGATTGAGATGCTAATAGATGTATCTGTGGTCCTGGGATTGAGCTATTTTAGTCCGCCTCAGCATGATCTCACTTTTTTCGCCTATTTGTCAAGTGAAGAATCATTATTATTCAAATGATTGTGGGGAGGTTTCACAGCAAAAGATGCACCATGATAAAATCCATCTGCTAAGGGGAAATTAAAATGGAAACAGACTGCGGAGTAATTCTGCTTTTCTCAGTCATTTAATAAGCCTGTCCTCGAACAAAGGACACAGACTCTGGTGTACACATTGTAGGTTTCACGTTTGTTTGTCATGTGTAATATCCAAGGCTCAAACACAGTAAATATTCTGAATATTTGTACACTGTGTGTGTGTTTTGTTGAACAGGACAACATGCTGTTCTGCGACTCCTGCGATCGAGGCTTCCACATGGAGTGCTGTGATCCCCCCCTCACACGGATGCCAAAAGGTAAATGCTCCTTGAACTCATCAGGATGAATCACTTTTCAATCACAACCATGATCCTGGTTTTTGACGATCACAGAAACAAGAGAATCAAAATGAAACGGCTGCTCTACACTCGCTTTGGCGCATCTCTTACTGGACTCGCAGTCTGGCATACTAGGCTGATACGACTGAGCCAGAATACATCAGCCCAAGTTAATAAGCTACAAATGTGAGAGTGCAAAGAGGAGTAGCTTCAGTATGGTAAAGAGAGGAGAGCCGCACATAACCAGAGTGAGGATACATACACGTGCAGAGCTCGCCAGATTACAGTAACAACCTCTCTCCAGCATCCTAGTGGAGCTCTCGAGGGACACGCTGTTCAAAAATGAGAAAGCGTTTACACAGGACAGCAGTCCCATGACTGAGATGTCAACAGTGTGGAAATATTTTTAACGAGACAGTGAGTACAGTCTAACAGCCACTCGTAATATCTGCAGCGCAATTGTTTTTGTGAGACAGGAGCAGCAGAGCTGTGCTCAGTACTCCTAATTTCACAGGACGTCTAAAAACTAAACGTGTATTTCTGACACGCTCACTTAAGCAGCAGAAGGAAAAACGACAAACTGAATATCCAAGAAAGAGACGAATAGATTCCAGTGAAGGTGGCTGAATTCGTCTCTGTGGCACAGATTGCAGGTTGGGCTGCTTTGCTCTGTGGTCTGAACTCCACAGGATGCTTGAAGTTTACAGCAAAGTTTGTGTCATCTTAGGAGGTGATTTAAACGACACTGTGACCTCTGTTAGTTTCACCAGACAGCTAATATTTGTCCCGACTCATTCAGCAGAGCATATAAAACAGATAATATTTGAGTATGCCAGTTGAACAATGCTAAATGTAAGAAGCTGGAAACATTTCAATTTTGCTGGAATGAAGCAGACTTACCTCTTTACTACTTACTCAAAGCCTTTTTTTCACGTCTACATCTGTGAGACTTACACAGCTGATAAATAATTATGGATATCTTCAGATGTGGTCTCAAACTCTAATGTAGCACCTAATGCTTCACCGGTAAGTGCTAATATATGCAATCTATCTCAGAGTGTGTTGGTATCTCCACTGATGCCTGTCTCGTCTAATCCACCTCAGTGTATGTGAGCCTGTGCTTTTTTCTTCTCCCAGGCATGTGGATTTGTCAAATCTGCCAACCCAGGAAAAAGGGAAAGAAGCTTTTACACGAAAAGGCAGCACAAATCAAACGGCGCTACAACGCACCGCTGGGACGGCCCAAGAACAGGTAAAGAAATGGATTTAGCTGATGGCGTCTTCCTCGGTGTCAGTGCTGCGGAGAGTCGCAGCAAGGTGTCATGTACCTGTTTCAGCGGAGTGCAGAGAAGCTAACTGATGTGACGCCCACTCAGCAGTGAGCTGGTGGATATTTTTTTTTAGCGTACTGAAAGGTTCAGTTTGTCATACACAGCTGAGGTACAGAAATGGTCCCTTAAGCAGAGATCAGGATCCATCAAACTCCGACATCTCTGATTCCCATCTTAACCAAACTCCTCTCTGCTCCCGCAGGCCGGGGCGGCCCTTCAAGAAACTGGGCGGTCGGGGTCGGCGGAAGCGCTCAGCTTCGGCCAACTCTTCCTCCAGCTCATCCTGCGAAGGTTACCCCGGCGACGACAGGCTGCTATTTTCGCTGCGGGACGACGACGACCTGTCGCAGAGCGGCCTGCGCTTCAACAACAAGACCAAGGGCCTCATCGACGCGCTCACCAAGTTCTTCACACCGTCCCCTGAGGGCCGCAAGGCACGGCAGGAGGTGGTGGACTACTCACAGCAGTGCCGCATCCGGAAGAAATCCAGTCGCAAAGGGGACGGAGATGACAGAGGTGGTGAGGATGATCAAGAATGAAGTTATCAGAAAACCGCTTTAGTTATTATCAGATATTAGACTTCCTAAGAAAATAGATCATCTGTGCTGATGAAATCATATATGTGGCGTGAGTGTCCAGGGCAGCTTTGGAGCTGCAATTTAGGAAATGTGATGTAGTGTAAATGTGCAAAGCATTTTGGGGGAGAGACCAGATTAGCATCACTTTTTTTTTTATGCTGCTGTTCCTCATTAAGATTATGCTTTTAATGAAAACTGGTGCACCAGGAATATGAAGGTAAAGAAACCCTATAAAGAGCTGGTTTGATTAATGAAAGTCTCAGTGGATAGATTTAAGGCAGCAGGTTTGTATCTCACCTCTGTCTGCACTACCACAGGCTGTGTTTATGTGCAGCTGGCAGTAAAACTCTTCATACAGGAACACAGTTTAGACCCCTTTCCCTCTTTTTAGAGATCTCCTCCCTGAAACAAACTGCATCTTATTGCACTTTTTTATATTCCAGATTTTAAAGACCATAAAAAATGAATGCACTCTATTTTTACAAATGACATCAAGCTCATTTGCACCAGCACAGTTTTTATTATCAATGAAATGCATGAAAAGTAGGACATGAATGTTTCCACAGCATTTGCACGATTGACAAATCAAGTTGACAATAAAACCTACAGAGAATAAATCTGAGGCAATAATACAAACACATCCAGTGACTAAAAAAAGTAAAATATTAGGACGATGTAGTTTAAAATCATGTTTATCATTTATATAAGACCACTCAGCACTTATTTGTGTATCAATTTATTTGTTAACCAGCAGGAAGGAAATAAAATGTAACATCCAAAAAGCATTTCCATAATATTTCTTGGCTAAAGTTGCATTTAGATAAACGATCAGCATATGAATATTAAAAAACACAGTGTATTTAGCCCCTTTTCATATACACTGCTGCGTTGTTACTTGTCCCATTATTCAAAAAGTGAAGCTCTTACCCTGATGGTGTTTATTTGAAAATAATAGACGGATTGTAATAATGGCGTCAAATTTATTTGTAATTTTCCGCCTCAGAAAGTGATTGCTTTTTGCATCAAAAGAAATAGCTTTAGAGTTTGAAGTGGCTACCTGCAGTTCTATTCCCACTGAGCTTTCTGAAGCCCAGAACACACACAGAGTCTTAAGTACAGAAATATTTTATTTTTTTTAAAAGAGGGAGAGAATTAGAGAGCATTCGCTTCAGGTTTTACTGGCACCAGTGTCTCTATTCTGACCCAGTTAGAGGATGTTGTTGAATAATGTATGAGCAGGTTTTAAAGAATTTAAAAGGAAAATAATCTTCCAAAAGATTTGTTGTCCTGCACGTGAAAAAAATTAGCCACATTAACTTCATCAGGAGGGTTTAGTTGATTAAAATTTGATTCAGTTTTCTTGGTGAACATTTTGTACAAAGACTCTCAGGAGGAAATATTCACTTTAAGCAGCCAGCAAAGAAGCTCGAGTGAATTGAGACTCCTTGTTTAAGATCTTTGTCCCCTCTGTATTCGATAGTATAGATAGAAAAAACATGTTTAATTATTAGAGTTTGTTTAAGGGTAGCTGTTCACCATGTAAAAAAAAAAAAAGCCTCTATTTCTGTCGGCTGTGGCTGAAGTACGACGATCAAACTAATTTATTTGGCACTTTGGTTCTGTGTCTACCAAGCTTGTCACAAGATTTGCATTAACTCCGTGTCCATATTTCAACCCACAGACAATCAGGACGGCAGTGACTGGCGTGACGAGGATGAAAAACTGCCGGGTCACGAAAACTTGACGGAAAAAGACATCGAGCTGTTCAGACATATCCAGGAGCTGGCGCTACAGGTACACAAATAAGATATCGAGTGTCTTAATCATTGGGACGGGAATTAGACTGAAAAAAGGGAAAGTAAGGAGCGGTATAGAGGCCGGTTTGTGGAGTGACTGACAGTGAGACCCAGTGAAGTGATTAAACGTGGTCACACTCAACACACACACTTTGTGGGTGGAGGAGTCAATGAGCTGGAGGAGAGCGCTGTGTTTCTGTAGTGCAAGAATTTAATTTGCCACAAAGCGGCTGCTACATTCAGCACGCAGATAGAAACCAGCCATCATCGCTGATAAAGAGCATATTGAGTACAAAGATGAGCTCCAGCATCGGTGAAAGGTTTGGTGTAACCGACCAGAAGATGGAAATGTTAGGAGGTAATTAAAATCCAGTGTTTTTACTACACCGCTGTGAGTAAAGGCTGGTCGGTGTAACTGCTGCTGAAGCATGTCAGTCAATCAATCAAACTTTATTTATAAAGCACTTTCCATACACAGAATTTAGCACAATGCTGTCCATTCAAGCAGGATATTAAAGTAAAATAAATACAAATACAAATACAGAACCTCACCAAACCCTTCCTCAACCTACGCACACACAGATGCACGCACAAAAGACCAGGGGAGGACTCTTAAACCTGCCACAGATGACTGAGAAAATACTATCTTGAGTTAAAAATGAGGAAACACTGGACCTAGGACTAAAGCGATAAAACCATGATAAGATATAATAAAGATAATAAAGCGTTAAAAGTGAATCAAAGTTAATGTGTCTCCTCTTGTTGAAGTTTAGCTGTTGATCTCTTTGATAGAGGAAACATTAAACACAACAGCTGCAATGATGACGTTCTGCACTGACACATGAGCCCTCTCGGTGTACGCACAGTGAGGAAACACTCACAGGCAGCATGTTTGTCGTCGTGGAAGTATATAGTAATACAGTATATTTAAACATAGTCTCATATGACTGAAGACTCACACCAGCTTTTAGATCACCCCTGCTGACAGAGCAATAAAGTTTATGATGCGTGCATGCTTTACACAGCCCCCAAAGTCAAGTTGTCCTGCTCGCACAGCTAACTCAGCAGCACCTACAAATACCTGGGTGCTCGGCAAGCGAGTGGACACAGCCTCAGACCTGCTCCAGCGAACTTCTGACAGAACTAAGGCAGAATATCTGGTCAGGCAGAACACTCTGCTTTCCTGTGTTATAGGGATATTCCAGTGTAAAATTAAGTTAGTGTAAACAGTACCCTAACAGTACATACAGGGTCCCAGCCATAGTACTAGCCACCAAAAATCTTTTTAGCTTTGCCTAATTTCTCTAGCAAAGAGACTAAACACAACTCACCCACTCTCTTCCAGCAGCTGCTTGTTTGCAGGGGGAGCTCGGGCGAGTCGATCACCGAGTGCAGCGAAGTTTCGCAGCTCAAGAAAGAACATTTATGATAATTTTTTCATGGAAATACAATCAGACCGAGACGCTAAGGCAGAAGATTTGCCGCGTCTGCAGTGCAAAATGATAAATTTGGTGATTGTTACTTTAAGGAAATGATAAAGAAATGATCATAAATGTTGTTCCTTGAGCTGCGAAACTCCGCTGCACTCACACACTGCATCCTGCGGTCGTTACTAAAGTTGGTATAACTAGAGAAGCAAGCGGTCGGCAACATTCATCTCTCGACGGGGCGTCTAACTCGGTGTTACATGTGTTTGACCCTAACTTAATTTTGCACTGGAATATCCCTTTAAGGTGTCATTTATACTGTTAGTTGTGTAGTGTGGTCACTTCAAGCAAATGCAAAGAACTAGATAGGTTTGATGTCTGTTGTAGGTGACTGTATTAACTCTCATGTGGTCTGTTTGGTCCTACTGTGTTGTTGATGTTGTCCTTAAACTCTTCATTTCCCTCCCTTTTCTCTCTTGTCTTTGCACACAAACAGAAAGTCGGGGTGACGGGTCCCCCAGACCCTCAGATGCGCTGCCCGTCGGTCATTGAATTCGGAAAGTTCGAAATCCAGACGTGGTATTCATCCCCCTACCCCCAGGAGTACAGCAGGTAACAAATCCGGCATAATGAAGCACACCAGAATAATGCTCTTAGCTCTCAGCTCTGCTTGTAGGCGTAGAAATTAGCAGCAGCATGATGGAGCTCAATTATAATATCATTTACAGTACCACCTACTTTGGCAGGTAACCAGCCAGAGCAGGGGAGGTAATTAGATTCAGATTTTCTTTCATCCATGTAGCTGGTGAATAAAATCCACCCTGCTGACTTTTAAGAAATTAACTTTCATTAGGGGCATGAGGTGTCAAAAAAAAAAGACAATAAACAGAGCGAAAGTGCTAATTTTTCATCAAATGACTTATTTGATTATCCAAGAAAAAGATATTCCAAGTGATGAGCTTTTCCTCACACAGCTGCTCTAATGACTTTTCAAAATCACCTCTCACTTTTTTGTTGTCCTCCTCGCGTCTCTTCCAGGTTACCTAAGCTCTACTTGTGTGAGTTCTGCCTGCGCTACATGAAGAGCCGCAGCATCCTCTACCAGCACATGAAGAAGTGCAGCTGGTTCCACCCTCCCGCTAATGAGATCTACAGGAAGGATAACGTCTCGGTGTTCGAGGTGAGGATCTGTTGCAGGGGAGAGTGGGAGTTTTTGTTTGTGGTCGTTACTGAACAGGAAGACCAAAACAAAGATCAAACAGCGCGAGTGTGTGAAACTGTGACCCTGAAATTGTCAGATGCCTGTTTAATCCACTTGAGAATTTCCTCTGTACTCAGTCCTCTAATTGCACAGAGATTTTTAGGTCTAAAACCTTTAAAAACAAAATGAACTGTATGTTTTCTGTACTGATAAGTCAGCTATGGTTACAGCTCAGTAAGACGCTCAGGGAGAATGCAGGGCTCGATGGTGTAACCGTTTCACTCTCATTTGTGACTAAAAATACCCGTGTGGGAATTGTAGAATGTATTTGGGAGCACGTGTGCGCATTAAAAAATCAGCTGAGGCAACAAGTGTTTTTTCATGTTAATACCGCGATGAAGTTAGTTTTAGGTTGGATATCCGACTGACATTCACTGCGGGTCTACCGGGGTCTTCTCACTCTCCATAACTGGGAACGGCAACAGCAGCGCGGTTAAAGCTACTCTCTGGCAGTGTCTGGTGTTGAATAAGGGACCATCAATAAATTACTGTTTGATGTTCTCAAAAAAGGCTGTTTTCCTTCAATAGCTTCCATGTCATGTGACCAAGTGAATTGAAATTGATTTTAAGTAATACTGAGGTCGGACAATAAGACTCTTTATTTCCCTAATTTGTCCTCTAAAGACTTTTGTATTAAATTTTCAGGCACATTTTGAACATTTTCTTCAAAAGCTTCCATTTCATGTGACCAAAAGACTTAAAATTGATTTCAAATAATAGTACTCATATCAATCAATAAGACACACATTATTCGATCAATTTTCATTGTGCCCCTAAAGTTCTTTGTGTGCTCCTTACTTTTTCAACTTAGGAGCACATGTGCTTCTTGTAAAAACAGTTAGTGTAAAGCCCTGGAATATCATATATATTGACAAGCGAGTGTCCATCATCGTTTTAGTAGGAAAAGGTTACGCCCCCTTACCACTGAACCTTCTTCTCGTTGAACTCTTCCATCCTGTACCATCACAAACAAAGTCTCTGTCTTTCTCATTCGATTCTAATTTATTTTTTTAACACCACCGTAGCTGTCTTCAACTTGATAAATCTACCAAATGCTGATGACTCAAATTCCTCATGGCGGTTGGTTGACTTTTCCTCCAACTTTGTGCAGGCTGGGGGAGTTACTGTAATTATTAGACGAATTCATAATTACTATTTACAGAAAAGCCGTTTTTCTGGCTTTCTTAGCGCAGCAGTAGATTAGCTCAGTGTCTACTTGTCCGCAGGCCGTTGCCACTGCAGCTCCTGTTTCCCCCGCTCTGCAGTCCATCCTCACTCGGAGGAGAGCAGAGACACCTGGCGAGCTGCCAACCTGAACCTCCCTCCCTCTCTGTCTCTCTCCAGCTCTTTGTTTCTCTCCTCCACCCTCTCTGTCTGTCAGGGTCTCCAGAGACTGGGCTGAGATCATTGCCCAACACTAACTTCGCTGCTCCATTCACCTTCACTTTGTTCCACCGCTCCCTGACAACAGCTTACAGCTGCTCTGCCCAACAGCAGTGTGTCGTGGAGTGAACAGCAGTTATTTAGGAAACTGCCTGTCATTGTGTTGAACTCGTTTGTTCTCTCACTTGTACAGGTTGATGGGAATGTGAGCACAATCTACTGTCAGAATCTGTGTCTGCTGGCAAAGCTGTTCCTGGACCACAAGACCCTCTACTACGACGTGGAGCCCTTCCTTTTTTACGTCCTGACACAAAACGACAGTAAAGGCTGCCACCTTGTAGGATACTTCTCCAAGGTAAACCCCTAAAGCTCCTGGTCTTCAATTTTACCCCCCAGTGTCCACACCTCTGGTTACTGTTTTGAGAAATACACACCTCTGTTGTAAGTGAGCTGAGAATTACTGAAACAGCTAAAAGCGAAGAGCAAAATATATTCAAATGAAATTTATTGGCATCACCTCACTCTAATCCATTCCTCCAAACAGAGAAAAGCTCACGCTGTGTCTCAGATAAACACTGGATGCTGTGAGCTCTGTTGTCCCTCAGTGGAGTTTATAGACACAGGTGCTCCCATTAACATGCCACCTCGCTGCCAGAGCACAGCAGTTAGTGAGCGGAGGCAGAACCATCAAACCCCTGCTGTCCACTAACAGTTCTGCTCGGTGATGTGGCTCTCATAGTTTTCGTCCTAACGTTGGAATGTGTCTCTCTCCTCTTCTCTCCTCTCCTCTCCAGGAAAAACACTGTCAACAGAAGTACAATGTGTCATGCATCATGATTCTTCCACAGTACCAGCGCCAGGGCTACGGACGATTTCTCATCGACTTCAGTAAGGACTCAGACTTGAGCAGAATAAACACACAAGAAGAGCTTTGTGCATTTGCTGTTGCTCATACTGTGTGGCTCTCCCCTCCCTCCCTGCAGGTTACTTATTGTCTAAGCGTGAAGGCCAGCCAGGATCTCCAGAGAAGCCCCTCTCTGACCTTGGTCGGCTGTCATACATGGCCTACTGGCGCAGTGTGGTGCTGGAGTGTCTCCACGAGGTCCGGGATCGACAGATCACCATACGACTACTCAGCAAACTGACCGGGATCTGCCCACAGGACATCACTACCACCCTGCACAGCCTCAACATGCTGGAATCTCGAGGAGAAAGGTGAGAGACAGGAGATGCGTAGATAGATTTACATGTGAGGTCAGCATAACCCCAATTTAAAAAAGTTTAGATAAAATGTTGATAAAAAATTTCCAAATCACTTAATACTGATTTAATTAAAAACAGTACAAAAATAAAACAGTAAATATGGAACTGGCATGAGTGAGTGACAAACTCAATTCATAGACAATAGTTTTGAGCCCATGCGGTGATTCCCACTACAGAGTCATGCCTGTTTTTCATACACTTGTATTCAAAGAAGTCTCCAGATTTATAGTATGTACTGTAGGAGGTGCAAATTCATGTAATTAGTTGAGAGACAGTCCATCAGGTGTCGTGTCTCCAGTGTTTTTCTCTCCCTGCTTTGACTGCTTTGAAACCTTAAAATCAAAATGAGCACCTAGTTTTTTCATAAAGTGATCAAATGTTTCGCTGACTTTGCACTATTTTTCATTTATTATGTTGTTTTATTATTAATTTACAAACTATCAAAATGTGTTTTCTATCAACATTTTACTCAGCAAACTGGGGTTGTATTGTCTATTCTTTATAGGTTGAACTTTTCTCATTTTAACTCAGATTTAGCCTCAATGTCATTGAATACAAGACGGCATGACTTACTGTAGAGAGACGGGGGAAGTCAGGTTACAAGGGAATACCCCGTCACAAAGTATTAGAGGCTATTGGAAAGCTTCACCTAAAAATAACACAATATGGAAATCAGCCAGGTTCAACCATGCGTGTAAGCAAAGCCGGCCACTACAGCACACTTCAGTGGGATCATTTTTCACAGAGTTCTTGTATTCATAAGAGCGGATAGATGCCCTGCCGTCACCTAGTTATTCTGCAAAGCCAAAGGAGTTGTTACTGTGTTACTAGAATTTAAATCTTGGTTATATCTGTTCCAAGTAAAATACAGAATCACAATGAAAAAGTTTGGCTGTATTTTTCAGGCGATAAGACGCACCGGATTATTCGGCGCACTGTGAATTAATGTTTCCATGTTCACACATAAGGCGCATTAAGTATTGGTTCACGGATTGGTTTATTGTTGCTCGCGCGTACTCTGGACCCAGGCAGCCTTACATCAGTGCACCTCTAGTTTAGACAAAACAGTCAGGCAGTCTTGTAGACTGCTCAACGGTCCTGTTACCGGGCCAGTCAGGTAGCAACACAGCGTACCGTAATGCTCTGAATATCCATTGAGCGGAGCGGCTTGTTGCTTACACATTTTGACAGATTTTTGAGCGCATTGTACCACATAAAATCGGTCAGTAAACACAACAATTAATCATACATAAAGTGTGCTGGATTATAAGGTATACTGTCAATTTTTGAGAAAATTAAAGGATTTTAAGTGTCTTATCGTCCGAAAAATACGGTGGTTGACAAACTTCGACGTCCTGTACCCTGAACATGTTACGCACTGACATTGCTCTCTAGCAGAAATGTAGATACATGCACACGTGAAGCCAAACCCATTGATCTGGATCAGATTTCTCTGCACTTGCATGTGGCAGACCATCTGTACTCGCTGTTGATGCTCCTGTTTGCTCTCTCAGGATGGTCCTGGTGCGCAGGGAGAAGCTTGTGTCAAACCACATGTCTCGCCTCAAGGCCCGGCCACGGCGGCTGGACGTCGACCCCGAGTGTCTCCGTTGGACGCCTGTCATTGTAACCAACACTGTGGTCTCTGATGCTGATGGAGATGACGACGATGATGAGGAAGATGAAGAACCAGAGGAAGACAAACGCAAGGAGGTAAATAAACTCCGTTTGTGCCTGATTGTGCTTTATTATCAATGTTGGCGAACATTCTTACTGATCAACTTCCTGTGACGTATTTGTTTACAGATAAAACCAAGCCACAAGGTCTCGCCGATGTCCTGGCACATGCGCCAAGGGAAGAAGAGAGAGGAGGAGGAGGAAGAAGAGGAGGATGAGGACGAGGAAGAAGAGGAGGAAAGAAAGGGCTTTCTAGGGTTTCCCATTAGCCAAAGCTCTCCGTCTTCCCCTCCTGCACGCTGTCCACCCCCCCTCCCAGAACCACTACGCCCTCCTCCGCCAACAAACGGTGAGCGCCGGCCCCGGGGGCGCCCACCCAAAAACTGGCCTTGGGGAAAGGTGAAAGACAGCACAAGGGTCGTACAACCCCCCAAGATCCGCCCAGCAGAGGATGACGATGACGAGGATGAGGAGAAAACCGAGGGAGGGAAACCCACAGGTGCCACCAGCAGCCCCGCTTCTCTTTTCTCCCTGGACAGACAAGCAGAGTCCACAGCCTTTCACCCACTCGACATGGCCCGGCACCCCTCCATAACCCCCACACGACGAGGAAGGCCGCCACGGAAAAAGAGAGGCCCCAAGCCCAGACAAATAGAGGGGTCAGGAGAGGGACTGTCCCAGCTTCCTGTAGTCCCTAGGTTGAACGAGTCCCCACCCATCAGGAAGAGCGGCTTTAGTGAAAGCAGTGAAGAAGATGAGGACGACGACGATGAAGACGATGAGGAGAGAAGAGCGTGCTCCCCTCCTATTCTCACCAAGCCTGCAATGGGACTCAAATGCAAGGTAAGACACCAGCAGGGATACATATAAGTTCCAGGCAGAGTTTCTGGAGCTCAAACAATCAAAAATCAAAATTTGTATGTGGCCCATTTGACGACCTTTGCAATAATCTTCTTGATCGGAGCCTTTTTAGTCTGTCTTTTTAATCAATATTTCAAATCAAACTAATCCTCTTTTCTTTTAACCCAGAAGCCACCAAGAAAACGTCGCTTTCGCCAGCGCAGCCACCCTCACAGCAGCGTGGTGACGGAGACCATTTCTGAGACCACCGAGGTGCTGGATGAGGCCTTCGCCGACTCCGACTCAGAGAGACCCATGCCGAGGCTGGAGGAGGAGACTCCCATGGGACACCCGCTGCACCGTTACCCCCCAGCTCGTTCCACCCTGAGGTTATCTGACCCAGCACCCAAAAGAGGCCGGCACTCACACCTCACCGATTCAGAGGAAGACGGTGAGATGAAAGACTTTTATATCCAAAACTGACAGGATGTGGTTGTTATCGGTTGTTTTACTATCAGGCTGTTTACAGGAAAAGTATTGTGGCCCAAAATAAATCTACTATAACAATAACATCAAGGTATAAAAACAGTTTTCTCAGCCAAATCAGGGAAAAGCTAGACAAAGCTTCTTATCATCGTGTGTTTCTAATGATTTCAGGCAGTGCTGGGCGATAAATAATAACAATATATATGGAAAATTAGTTTCCTTCGATATCACTATAAAACATGGTCGATACGCTTTTCGATAATCTGCATTAAAAAGAAGAAAAGTGTGTTCTCCAGGATGTAGCTGGGTTGAGAGTGGCAAGGTTTACGGTGTTTGTCCCTGTTAATAGACACGGACACAGGTGTCCAGTTTAGTGGTGGATTTATTTGACAGTGGGTCTGCTGATAAAGATACAAAGCAACAATCAGTACAGCTCACACCATAGATAACATGAACATCGAGTAGCATGAGATAGCATTAGCCATATTCACGGTAAACAATACATTCACACAATATTGCATCCAAACATCATAAAACTCACTTTTGGCATTTACACACAAACCCAGGATGTGAAGGTGAATATTGGGTAAAAACAGGTGGGAAATTTACGAACTATCTTCAAAACTTTCGCAGCTGCAGCATCTCGCACATAGGTGCGGTGCGTCCAGTCATGAGGAAGTGTAGGACAAATGAAAACTCACCGTAAAACACAATATAACTGAAGGGTATTTACTTGAAAACATTTAAACAACACAGGCTTTCTAACAGGCATTCTGCCATGTCTCTAGTGCAAGTTCTTACAACAAATCGTCAGACACTAAGACCTCACAGATGCAGTAGCTTTTTGTATTGCAAAAGACATGTGACCAAAAAAAGCACCGTTAGATATCATTTTTATATAGTGATATATATCAATATTGACTGATATGAAAAAAAATATATTGTGATAAACTTTTTACCATATCGCCCAGTCCTAATTTCAGGCCTTGAGTTTGCTTTTCAGCTCAGTGACAGAAACTTCCTCAGAGAAGAGATGCGCCATAAAACAGCTGCTTGTGATGCTTTTATTTTGACACTTTTACTGTCCGCTGATTAAGTTGCTTTATTTCCTGTACTATAAAACCAAGCTTTTATTGTGAAACAAACTAATCTGACATGGTGGGTTATCCTCATGTTTATTTTTAACGCACAACATATTTTCACTTTTTAAGGAAACATTTTTCTTCATTACAACAGCCCCAGTTTGCACAGATGTACTGTTTGTATGAAGCTGTATCTGACGTGGGTCTGTCTTGTTTTTCAGAGTTAACGCCTGTGCTGAAGCCTGTGGCTGCTTTGACAGCAACGCCATCAGAGACGCTGGCAGCCAACCCTGAGGTCCCAGTCAAGAAGAAGAAAGGCTGGCCCAAGGGGAAGAGCCGCAAACCCCTGCACTGGAAGAAACGAGGACCTGGGAAACCACCTGGTGCGGACAGCCAGGCTCAAAGTGGGGATCCTCCACCGCCCAAAATCAAGATGAAGCCTGGCCGCAAACCCCGCAGCTGGTATCTGCAGCGGGCGCAGGAGGAGGCGGAGAGGCAGGAACAGGAAAGACAAAGGCTGTTAGAGCAGCAGCTGGACAAAAATCCTCAGCTGCTTCAGACGGACGATCGCAGTAAGAGAGTCTCGAGGACCAACGCTGACAGAGACAACAAGCAGAAGGACTCCGATGAGGAGGATGACTATCTCCCCAAGCCTGCAGAGCAGAAGATACCAAGAAAACGAGGAAGACCGCCCAAGAACCGTGCTCCCCTCCAACCCCCAAAGCCTGCCCCCAAACCTCCTCCCACCTCTGAGCCAGACGAAGAAGAGGATGAAGAGGAGGAGAATCAAGGAGCGTGGGAGGAAGAAAAGCCCAGCCGTCCACCATCTCGCCCCCTGCTTTCCCCTTCATCATCTTCCTCCACCTCAGGGCCCCGGGCCCCACAGTCCCGGCCTCAGGACACAGAAATGGGTGACAGGGAAGAGGATGACGACGACGAGGAGAGGGAGGAAGAGGATTGCGGCAGCACGGGAAGCGGTGGCGGTGGTATCAACAGGCGGACAGCGGTCACACAAGGATCAGGAAGCAGGCGCAGTGAGGACCATGACGCCGACGACGAAGGTGATGGACACTTGGAGGATAAGAGCAACAGCAGCAACAACAGCAGTAAAAAGAGGAAAAGTCAGGACTCTGAGGATGAAGACGATGATGAAGACGAGGAGGAGGAGCCAGCGAGCCGAGCGAGCTCTCCTCCAGTCAAAGAAGAACCCCAAGGTGGAGAGGCTTTTTTAGACATGGAGAACAGCGTGGCCCGGGACTATGTCAGCAAGCAGGAGGAGGAAGAAGAGGAGGAGGAGGAGGCTGAGCAGGAGGTGCAGGAGGCTAAGTGTCGCCCTTCCTCTGCTGACCCCCAGCAGGAGGAGAGGAGGCGCAGAGAGCAGGAGGAGTCCGCCGCAGCAGCCGCAGCGGTGGAGACGGTAACGGCCATGTCTGTTCCCTCGGAGCCCATGGAGCTGCAGCCTCTGCACCCGGACGACAAAGACGTCACGCTGTTGATGGAACCCCAACACACACACCCGCACTCCCACCCGCACCAGCACCCAGACTTCAAAGAGGAGCTGGGCCACCACCACCCGCACCACCCCCACCATCACTCCAATGAGCTGGACCTGGAGACGATGCAGGCCGTCCAGTCCCTGACGCAGGGGGAAGCCCAGGACGAAGAGACAGAGCCGCAGCCTCACCACGGGGCCTACCAGGACTGCGAGGAGACCCTTGCCGCCTGCCGGACCCTGCAGAGCTACAGCCACACAGGAGAGGCGGAGGAGGAGGCTCTGGCGTTAGTAGAGGAGTGTGGCGCCTCTCAACACAGCAGCCCCCTTCCTAATCCTCCAGTGCCCCCCCTGCCAAGTCAGTCCGTGCGCTCAGTGAACAGTCCGGGTTTGACCTCGGGCATCATGGACACAACGCCGGCCAGCCAGAGGGGAGGGACGCCTGGTCCAACTGGAGCAGGAGGCAGTGGTGGAGGAGCCGGAGGGGGCTACACCCAGATCACACCGGAGCATCCCAGTTCTCTGTCGGCCCCTTCCCAGCAGAACATGGAGACGTCGCCGATGATGGATGTTCCATCTGTGTCCGACCACTCGCAGCAGGTGGTGGACAGCGGCTTCAGTGACCTCGGCAGCATCGAGAGCACCACGGAGAACTACGACAACCCGAGCAGCTACGACTCCACGATGGGTGGAGGGGGCAACGGGACAGGTAACGGTGGGAACGGAGGAGGGATGCCCTCTGCTGTAGTTGCAGGAGCTTCCACGGTTTCTTCGTCATCGGGCTCCTCTTCGTCCAGCTCGGCGACCCCGTCCTCCTCACAGTCCAACAGCTGCTCCTTCGTCCCGGCCCCCAGCCTCACATCCTCCACCGGAACTGCCGGATCCCAGCTACCACTCGGCAGCTGCAGCCTAATCCAGCAAACTGGACCAGGACCTAACAGTGGACCAGGCGGAAGTAACGTAGGCAGCGCCGTGCCTCAGCCCCCGCCACCCCCACCCCCGTCCAACACCCCCGGCTGCGGCATCAAGTCTCCTCAGAGCTGCGGTGTGATCGAGAGGCCCCCCAGCACCAACCAGCAGCAGCAGCAGCAACAGTCCCAAAAAAAGGTTCCTCAGCAGCCCCCTCCACAGCAGCAGCAAGCCCCCAACCCTCAGCCACCTCCGTCAGCTCCACCTCCACCCCCTCAGCAGCAACAGCAGGCTCTGTCTCAGTGTAGCATGGGCAACGGCTTCGCCTCAACGCCGATGATCATGGAGATCCCTGAGAGTGGAGGCGGAGGAGGGGGCCGCACCCTGTATGAGCGAATGGGTCAGGACTTTGGTACGGGCGGTTACCCACAACCCTCGGCGACCTTCAGCCTGGCCAAACTCCAGCAGCTCACCAACACCATCATGGACCCCCACGCCATGCCCTACTCTCACTCAGCCTCCGTCACCTCCTACGCCACCAGCGTGTCTCTGTCCAACCCGGGGCTAGCCCCTTCACCGCACACTCCCCTCCCTCAAGGCCAGCCAACCATGACCCCTCCTCCTAACCTGAGCTCCGGCTCCATGAACCTGGGCTCCCTGCAGCTGCAATGCAACATGCCCACCACCAACATCGGCCTGGGACCCCCGCCGCACACGCAGCGGTTACAGGGCCAGATGGCGACTGTGAAGGGACATATTTCCATCCGCTCCAAAGCCACCCAGCAGCTAGCCCCCGCCCCGCACCAGCAGCAGCTCTACGGCCGCAGCTCGGGGGCGGTGGCCATGCAGGGCACGCCGCGCACTCTGGCCGTGCAGCGCGGCATGATGCCCAACCTCATGCCCACGCCGGCGCCCTACAACTCCATGAACATGACGCCCCTTAACGCCATGTCGGCCGGCTACCGAATGCCCCAGCCCATGATGAACAGCGGTTACCACGGCAACCCCCCTTACATGAATCAGCCAGCTCAGTACCCAATGCAGATGCAGATGGGCATGATGGGAGGGCAGGGTTACCCGCAGCAGCCTATGCAGCCCAATCACCATGGTAACATGATGTACACAGGCCCTTCCCATCACAGCTACGCCGGTGTCCCCAAACAGTCACCGTACATGAGCAGATGAGCAGCTGAGAACTGACAAACGGAGACACGACGGGGCCAGAGCTGATACTTGCTGTACTCTAAAAGTCCATTACTCCTGTCCACCCTCTCCAGTGCTACAACAGGCACACGTGAGTGAGTGTAGGTGTAGGAGTCAGAGAGGATCTTTGGGTTTCCTGTTTTTCTATGTTGTCATTTCGTCCCTTTTTTGATTTGGGCTCCCCTTCCCCTCCAGCTGGCTGTGTCCAGGAGCCGGCCAGTAGGATCTGGGGGTTGGGATGTGTACGTGGACCTCAGCCGTGCCATGCTGCTTCAGGCCAGGCTTACACAGTTCCTCTGTATTGTGGTTTCACACAGGCCCAGGAACCTCCTCCTCCTCCCCGTGATACGCGGGAGCAGATAAGAGGAGGAGAATGACGAGAAAGATACACAGACAAAGACAATACAGGAGTACCTTGCTTTTACAGACTGCAATGAAAAAACAGTGGAAAACTGAATATATTCAACCATGCACACAATCTTTTATTGATATAGGAAGCCTTACCTTGGAAAAAAGAGACTCTGAAACATTGTAGGCGGACTCTCGTTTTTGTTAAACAAAATGTTGAATCTTATTTTTGTCGTCTATCGTTTTTGTTGATTGTTTTTTGAAATTCTCGTGTGCAGTCCGACCTCTTATATGCTTTGGTCTTTATATGTGTGGCATTCAAAAATGGTGATCCACCCTCTCGCTCTCTCAGAACCATACCCAGACACGCGGCTTTTTTCTCGCCTCGCTCCAGAAAAGCAGAGGAGTTGTCCTTCCTGTGTTTGAGGGGGGTCGAGCTGTTTCCAGAGTCCCTGTCTTCCTGGATGGACGATGTTGTACCAAAAAAAAACAGCGGAAAACACAGAAGAGACAGACGAGCCCATTATTGTCTTATCATATGTCCATAAAATGAAAAAAGTAGCATTATTTTCCAGTTTGCTGCCACTCTGAAATGTTTAGATGTAAATATTCTGGTACTTCCCAATATCCAGCACACACACGCACACACACAAACACGCTCTGGCTAGCTGTCGCCATTTGACGGCTGGCTCGGGAACACTGAGTTGTTCTTGTCCACACTCCACTGACAGACGATATACTTTGTCAGCCTTTTTTTAGCAGTTTAGGGAACACAGAACAAACGGTGGTATTTCCATTGAACTGCTTTAAGGAAAGTCAGTTAGCGATATCTGACCTCCCCTCATAAGTGTTAGTGACCCAAAGAGGTCGAGGAGTCTGCTTCTGAATAGTGTATTATCTCTTTTTTTTTTAAGTTGTATTTTTCTTTTCTTTCTGCAAAATTCTGCACTCCCATTGGCTAGAAACACGGCAGGAGACGGCGAACCTTTGTGAAAGGTGCGCCTGAATGCCTGATCTAGTGCGAGGTTTGGCCCTCACGTAGAGGCACGCTCATATGAAAGCAGGGTCGGCGGTAAGTGTTTGAGGTCCTGTTCAGCTGGCGGGAGAGAAATGGGTGACCTCGTTGCTCCATGTACCAGTATTGAAAGTCAGAAGAGGAGTTTTGATTTTCTTACAGACCTGACATCGCATACTTTCTTTGTGTGTATCGTTCTGTTCTGTACTTCTTTTTCGTTGTGTTTTCTTTCTGAATTTTATCAGACTGGGCAGCTTTCTTTTATGACACAAGCTGACTCTTTTTGACTTTAGAAAACTTATTGTAGAGAAAATGTTTTTTCTATAATATAAAAGGAAACTCTTACATTGATATTGGTACTGTCATTTTTTTCACTTCTGTTTCAGGAAAAAAAAACTACATATTTTTTAGCTCGCCTCTTGGGTAATAATTACTAAGAAATTCAAAATTTAAAAAAATTACCACTCACTTTTAGTGACTTTAAGATGCCTTTAACCTCTCCATTCCATCTCATCTCTAGAGTTTTTCTATCTTTGTGTAGTATATTAATGCTATTTTAAACAAAAGGACTACAAATATCTAAAGGTCACTTGGCATTCTTTTCTTTTTTTTTACTTGTGTGTGTATAGGATGACTTCCTTACATTTAAGAGGCATGTAAAAAGGAGCTCAGTATATTTCTGTCTGTTTATATCGCTTCCCTTTTTGTATCCTTTGTAATTGTACATGTTGCGTTGTATGCTAAGAGAGAGCGCAAAATAAAGAGGAGTGACAGCTGGGCCCACAGTGAAGGTTGATTTGCGCTCAGCGGCCTCAACTATCTACTCTCTCCCTGTATGTATTTCCATTTATTCTGTTATTTTTTCTTTCTTTCTTAGCAAGTACTTTCAAAGAACTCTGTACATTTTAACATAAAATGAAAATAAATTATGTTGAGCCATTTATGTTTTCCTGAAGCTTTTTTAAAATCACAGTTATTAAATAGGTGCATCCCTGATCTTATTAAGAGACATAATATGATATATTGGGAAAAACTGCCGTGGGGTAGATCACATCAGCAGTGCAGGGAAGTCGACTCAGGGTTTTATGTATTTAGAATAAAAATCACACTGAGGAGCATGGCTGCTTTGTTAAATCTGAGCAAAGAAAAAGTCTATATTGCTAAAAGCAGTCTGCAGGTAAACCATGCGCTTAAATTAGTTATTTTTCACATTAATAAAATGAGTTAATACTGTATTTAGTAAATGAAGTGGCTTCTGAATTATGAATCTACACGGATGGGGGATTTTAGGTTTATGCTCCACAGTGTTGTTGGACACTGGTGCACTAAAATAAATGAACATGGCGTCTAAGGCCTTAAACCCGTTTGTATTTAATTTATCAAGAGCGTTATCTACAGATGGTTTCTACATCTGAGTAGTGGAAGCGACGGTGTTTGACAGTGGAGAGGCTCATCAACTCATTAACATAAATAATGCTGAGCAAGACAAGGTACCCGACATTGTTAATTGTATCAGAGTGTAGACACTCCCGGTCCAAAGTTACTGTTACTAATTGATAAATCTTGGCCTCCCACAGTTGGCAAACATTAAAAATGACCTTAAATGCATTTGTTAGGTACTGTGGGAGCTGTCTTGATCACTTGCGGCCACTAGATGTCGCAGTTGTACATTTGCATTTCACCTGAGGTAGATTTCGTTACGTGTTCAAGAGTATACCTTCTTTGTTTTTGCAGACTTGTCTCACTTAAAGCTCCTTAGTTGTTCTAAAGAAGGAAGTTTATGGAGTTTTTGTCTTCCTGGTATCTGCCCACAACCAGTTTTTAATTAGTTTCATTTAGAAACATTACATTCTGACTTAAAATTTACTCCCTTTGTGTGTTGGGGTGTTTTATTATAGAGTAGAGTAATTACAACCAATACAGAGTCCAACTTTACAATAGTCCTACAATGTAAACAAACAGGTGAGATGAAACTCCTCTGTGTGTTTCTTGGAGGATTTAGCTGGTTGACATTGAGGGTAAAACTTCTCATCACTTAGGTGTTTGTTCTCAGGCTGCAACTTTATCTTAAGGGTGTGAGCTGCGTTTGAAGAGAGGGTGGAGCTGCTCACCCTGATCTCCAAGACATCATATGTCTAAGAAACTGAATAAATTCTGCAGCTTGTTCTTAAACCTCTATGCTTCATTTTGTGCAATAAAGCTCTAATGACAAAATATCCCGAAGACATACTTGATGTCAAAGGCAGGATAGTTGCATTTCACAGGTTATTACATTAAAAATAGACACTGATAGATAGTGGTACGCAAAAAAGTGCTAATTTATTGTTATTAAGCATAAATAACATTGAGATTCCCTTTCCCTCTTTACCTCCGTTTGTTTGAATGGAGAGAAACTCCACAAGATGAAATCTGATACTGGAAACAAAATGTCAGACCAGCTCCATCTTACAGCCAATCAGCGGGCAGCGTTACTGGTGTTTACGGAGGCTCCCCGAGCATCGTCCAATCACAGCCAAGTCACGAGGTATTCGCTTCCGTAATATCGACCAACTGCTCTATCTAGTAGGCGGGACTCAATGGCCGTCGCGGATTCCGATTGGCTCGCTTTACTCCACCATCGTCTCTCGCATCAGGATCTGCTCCACCTAACGGGAAGCGACGACGGCAGCTTAATCTTTCATTGGGGAAAAAAAGGGTGAAAGGCGAGACGAAAACATTTCATTTTGTCTTCGGTAAGTCAAGAATGACTATGGCGGAGAAATTTAATTGTACTGTAAGGACAACATCATTATTTTGTCATATTTGCATCCTCTGTAGTGGGTCTGAACGGGCTTCTCCTCTGTCATGAGACTGAGAGAGGAGGAGGAGGGACGGATGGAGTCCGGAGACCAGGGCCTTCATTAGACTATGAGATTTAAGGTGTTAGAAGATAGTTAGATGTTCAGATTGTGGCTTTTAAAGTAGGTTGATCTGTAGTTCTTTCAGAGTCTTGGGAAGCTAAGCTGTGCTCGATCAGAACTTGATATCTTTGCCTCATATTTAATGAATAATCTGGAGTCATATTTCACAGCCAGCAAAGACTTTAACTACAACATCAGCAGTACTGAGACAAACCTTTACACTTACATACAGAAAGAGCTGCAATCCTTAAGCTTTTTTAGTATTAATTGGAAATGAGTTCAATATGCAGGTATTAAGTGTGCACCTGAGTATTTAACCATAGGGGAGAGTGGGGTAAGTTGAGCCACCCTCTGCTGCTTGGAAATGGTCAAAGAAATTGATCATGTGACCAAATATTTAGGAGATGGGCATCAATTCATGTAATCTGTGAGAGTTAGAAGCAAATGGGTGAAGGGGTTAGACATTTATTTACAAAAACAAACATTTTTCACTCTTGAAAGTGAATTTAGTCTGTCATAAGTTTGATCAGAATTGTGTTCAGACCAAAAAAGGTCATTTTAAATTTGTTTTATACATCAATTGTGGTATCTATGAGCTACAACATGAGGCCAAAAACTTTACATAAAAGTCCACCATTTTAACTTAGAGGACTAATAAAGTCATAACAGTAGTTCAGGGGTAACTGAGGAAGTAAAGAAGTCTGACAAGAGGATCAGAGTTTCAGTTCAGATTGTTAAAATGTTTTTACTTTTTCTTTTAAAGAAATACAGCTGTGAATGTTAATAGAAACTTACCCCATACACGGGGGTAAGTTGACCATAGGAGACCACTTTTTTTTTACATGCTATATTATCAAGACAGTTATGTTTACACTCATTCTGTTGGTTTGCAGGGATGAACAACATCTTAAAATATAAACAGATACACTAGTTAGAGACAAAACACTGATTGCCTTAATGTAGTGATCCGAAATATGAAAAACAGCTCATCTAATCCCACTCTCCCTTATAGGAGGGCGAGAAAAGAAATGGTAAAACGAAACAAGAAAGGGTACGACAACATAAGACAGCATCACAGAGTCTATCTTTAACCCTCTTGGTCCAAAATGAAAAAACAGGTGCAAAAAATTTGATCCTTATCAAACCAGAGTCAGTTTTCTTTTGTAACCCTCAGTTTTTAAGACATGTCCATTCAGCTGCATGATGTCTGACAATCTTTCCCCAAGCCTTTTGAATTAATGTGATGATACATGGACTCCACAAGACCTCTGAAGGTGTAGTGTGGTATGTGGCACCAAGACTTTAGCAGCACATGAATCAGGTTCTTTAAGCTTTGAGGTGCAGACTTCATGGATCAGACTCCGGGAAACCCCAAAGATCTGAGATCTGGGGAAATCAGGATCTTGTTTTGACACTCTCATGTTCATTGTAAAAGCTTTACGTGGTGTACAAGGGTCAGTATGGGCATCCAGATAGGTCTGCAGCTGCACAGCCTCATAGCCACAGTACAAACAGTAATGCACTGTGTGTTTTGGCCTCAGTTGGATCAATCCACCCATGCATATTGGTGAGCTAATGCTCCTTATACTGGTTCACAACTTTTAGTAGGTGCTGACTCAGAACACCCGACTGTACCTGCAGTCCTGGAGATGCCTGACCCAATCATTTAACCATCACAGTATAGTCGGGTTCTGAAGTTAGTGCCTGACCAACTTCAGCTTCATCGATAGCCAACGTTATTCACTTCACCTGTCAGTGGTGATGTCTAAATGATGTCCTTCTTTCATTCTCAGCCTCCAGCCAACATGATCCACAGCTTGTTCCTCGTAAACGCCTCAGGGGACATTTTCCTGGAGAAGCACTGGAAAAGCGTGGTCAGCCGCTCCGTGTGTGACTACTTCTTTGAGGCGCAGGAGAGGGCGACAGAGCCGGAGAACGTCCCCCCAGTGATCCCCACGCCTCATCACTACCTTATCAGCGTGCTCAGACATCGCATCTACTTTGTCGCAGTCATCCAGAGTGAGGTGCCTCCGCTGTTCGTCATCGAGTTCCTGCACAGAGTCGTCGACACATTTCAGGTTCTTGTTTTCTGTGTTCCCTCGGTTATTTAGTATTTTGATGCACTTTTTATGACTCATGCATCTTATTTTTAACACCAATATCCTTTCTTTTGTTTCATTGTTGACAGGATTACTTTGGAGTGTGTACAGAGGCTGCCATTAAGGACAATGTGGTCGTGGTCTATGAACTGCTGGAGGAGATGCTCGACAATGGCTTCCCATTGGCCACAGAGTCCAACATTCTTAAAGAGCTCATTAAACCTCCCACAATCCTCCGCACAATGGTCAACACCATCACAGGTCTGTGGTAATACACAATGTATACTTTGAAACTTTGTGTGGTAATTATTTTTCTATATGTAGTTCTGGTAGATTTGATACTAGACCTTTGTCGGGCAAACCTCAAGTGTTTAAACTTCTTATGTCTTTGCAAGTTAAATAGTGTGAGGATGTTTATATCTATTTGAAAATGATGGTGTTTTACAGTAAGACGATCATAAAATGCAAAATATTTAACTTTTATCTACAATAAAGTTTCACTGATTTTATATAAGAAAGAAGAAGCAAATTCTGACATTATTTAATTTGCGCTTTTTGGACACAAGGGTCCAGGGGTAATAATCAAGACGTATAAGAAAACATCAAAAGTAGATTTTAAGTATTAAAACATGATCACGTTTAAAGTAATTTAAAAAGCCAAAGAAAATACTAAATTAAAAACTACGTTAAAGAGATTTCAAATGAAGCTGTTCAGGTGTTTTAGCCCAGCCATGATTATTCTGGTAGTTGCTGAGGTGAGGGTTTCATCAGACGGCTGCTGCTGTTGTGGGAATCAGAACATGGATTAGACTTTCAATCTTTAAAAGTGTTTTTAATGTATTAATAGCGTGTTAATGCGTAAATGCATGTACTTAAGAGGTATGTTCTACCACAGGCAGCATGTAAGGCCAAAGTCAGTAATGCCTTATTAATGCATGTAGTGAGTGTCAAGATTACAGCTTTGGCTCAGAGTCAGAGTCTGGCTTTTGCAGCTACATGCCAAAGACAGACACTGAACCCTGAACTGGTGTCTGTTCCAGTGGTGTGTGAATGGGACTAGTTAATGACTGGTACTTTACACAGCAGCCTCTGCCACCCTGTATGAACCACCAACTAAAAAAGCACAGTATAAGTACACTCAGTCTGCTCTTAAATACGCTCGCAGTAAAATGTGTGTTGCAAAAAAATGTGTGGCAACTGTATAATTATTTTACATTTGAACCATGTTTGTATTCCAGGCAGCACCAATGTGGGTGAACAGCTCCCCACAGGCCAGCTCTCAGTGGTGCCATGGCGACGCACCGGAGTCAAATACACAAATAATGAAGCCTACTTTGACGTGGTGGAGGAGATCGATGCTATCATTGATAAATCAGGTCGAGCACCTCACTGTCCTCTTGTTTCATGATTGTGCCGCTCTGCTCTGTTTGGTTTTAAAGATCCATTAACAGAGAATTACAAACAGTGGATCTCTTTCTGTTATAAAAGTAAAGCTCTGCAGTCTCTTTTCTTTACATCAACTCTTGATCCTTCTTCTCAGGCTCCACCATCACAGCAGAGATTCAGGGAGTTATAGACGCCTGTGTGAAACTGACAGGCATGCCCGACCTCACTCTCTCTTTCATGGTGAGTTTCCTCTTTCCCTTTATGAGCTACACATGCTGTGTTTAGATGTGTCTCATTAGTTTGACATCCATAATTTAATTTTACTCATCCCAAATCATCTTATCCTGGCGCCTCTTTCTCCCAGAATCCTCGGCTGCTGGATGATGTCAGCTTCCACCCGTGTGTTCGGTTCAAGCGCTGGGAAGCAGAGCGGATCCTCTCCTTCATCCCTCCAGATGGAAACTTCCGGTTGCTCTCCTACCACGTCAGCTCTCAGAAGTCAGTGTGGCATCATAAGCGTCACTTTTAAGGCTATCATACATAAAGAGTAACTATCTTTCAGCACATGCTCAGTGTGCTTACAAAACATAAGTTTCAATGTTTGCTTTTATGGCTTAAACTTCTTTGTTTCTTTGCCTGTTTCTCCTTCAGCTTGGTTGCAATTCCAGTCTACGTCAAACACAACATCACCTTTCGGGAAGGGAGCTCCCAGGGACGCTTTGACTTGACACTGGGACCCAAACAGACGATGGGCAAGGCTGTGGAGTCAGTGCTAGTTAGCAGCCAGCTGCCCAGGGGCGTCCTCAACGCCAACCTCAATCCCTCCCAGGGAACATACACCTTTGACCCAGTCACAAAGGTACCAACACTTTCACATCCCCTCCAGGAAGTCGAAAAAAAGATGTAATCGTTTGTCTTTTTATCACCTTTTTCATAAAAAGTAATCTCCTATGACCTTGTTTTTCTTTGTTTTGGTTAGTTGTTGTCTTGGGATGTCGGTAAGATCAACCCACAAAAACTACCCAGTCTAAAGGGCACAATGAGCCTGCAAGCAGGAGCCTCTAAACCGGACGAGAACCCCACCATCAACATCCAGTTCAAGATCCAACAGATGGCCATCTCAGGTACACACATGCACACAAAAATACCCTTTTTTTTCATCTCCGGGAGTCCTTTGTTTCTTTTAGTTTTTTTTCTCAGATCCTTAGTTGTTTAATTTTATTTGGACTGTCTGTCTCTCATCCAGAATGGGAGTGGTTTAATCCTGACTGACAGTCACATGCTCAAGTGTCCTCGGGCAAAACACTGAGCCCCTTCACATGACACAGACAGCAGCATGTGAGCACCAATGAATGAGGTTACTCAATACTGATAGTACTCTAATATAGCAATCTCTGCTTTCTGTGTAAAAATGTGGTATGAATCAGTGAATAAGACGAGCAGTGTAAAAGCACCTGTAGTGGTTGGAAACTCTAGAAAAGTGTCATGTCATCATTACTCAATTTTTGGAACCAAATCTTTGCCTGAGAGTAATTTAAGTAACATAGTATGTTGTAAATGCAGTGTACTATGAAGAGAGAAGAATCTGAGCTTGACCTCTTCATACAACAGAAGCTTTCATCTCATAGGCTGCTCAGCTGACAGTCACCTGACTGTAATCTGTGAGCATGTTCACTCAGTGGCCACTAGATGGTGTCAAACGCAGTAAATACACCTCATGTGACATCTTTAGACTTTCTTGAAAGAGATTCATAACTTTAATTTTTACTTTAAGCAGCATCATCTTTGGTATTAATAGAAAGTTGCTAGATCAATAGTTTTACATGTACTAATATGTAAAATGATAAACTTATTGTGTGAAAATTTCCTCTTGCTTCTCAACAAAATCTTTTCCTACATTTCTTCATATGAATGGTGTGTATTTTTCACTACTGAGAATCTAATGTAGCTTCTCTTTTTTCCTTTAAACCTTCAGTTTTTGCTTCAAATGTATTACTATCAACCCAAGTGCACTAAAAACCCTTTACTCTAAAAATCCTTAAATTTGTCACTCAGACTCTGCTTATATTTTGTGGCTGCACAGGCTGAGATAGTGTACAGATAATATCAATTAAAAACACCAGACGGCTGTAATCTGGTCTCTTATGACTTCATATGCACGGCAGCACTGTTATGTGTAAGTATGTTGTTGGGGATTTCACCACTTGATGTCACTGTTGTTGTTTTACATTGAAATTAGATTAGCTGTCATCTCATAACTCCACTTTTTTCATTATCTACTGTGCCATGATGTTGTTGTGGGACACCGATATCGTTGTTTTAATGCAGTTTGTACTGTAGATGTTAACTGCAGTAAATAAATGAGGTAGAAACTGAATAAAGGGCAAAACAGGTTAAGAAGTGCTAGTGCAGGGTGTTCTTGGTAATAGGTAATATTTTAGCGTTTAACCTGTAAGCAGAGAGTCAGGTGTGAGAGTCCATTTAACAAACATCCCAGTTAGAAAAGAGTGAAAATATCATTCTTTTAACAATATTTTGGTTAGTTTGGACATTACCCTCAGCTTGTGAGGATGAACCCTGTGTCCTCAATGACACAACTTAAAACTGGCTTGGTGTAGTGTGAACTTTGCACTCAAACTTAAGAAACAACCCAAACTCAGCTGGTATAACCGGTCTTAAAATGTTGTTGTCCTCTCCACACATGAATGGAAAAGTGTTGTCATGAGTAATAAGTCTTTCTAAATCACTGTTGGTGTGCTTCATTTTTTATTTGTGGATGTTTTTTTAAGATGTTGCATGAATTGACTCACATGTCCTGATATAAACCAGAATTGTTAGTTCCTGGTCGTCCAGAATGAACTTTGTACATTTTTTGTCTCTTGCACAGCTGGTTTAACACAGGACAAGGAGGTAGAACTTGAAAAACTACTCCGATTGTTTTTAATATTCATGTGTAGTTTTTCATTGCAAAGTTTCAGAGTCTCGAGAGACGGCGAGAAAACTTGTGCGAACAATGCAGGAAAGAGTGAAAATGCACAGTGTTGCAAAAACTTCATGCCCACGTCTCTGTGGTCTCTGTGGTCTGATCGGTCCTTTCTGAGAAGTTCAAATAACCTTAACCGACCTCACATCACTGTTTGTTCTTTTTACAATAACACCACTTAAATTCATGTGTCTTTGCTGAGAGGATTTCGTGTGTTCTTGTCCTCCCAACAGGGCTGAAGGTGAACCGGCTGGACATGTACGGTGAGAAATACAAACCTTTCAAAGGCATCAAGTACATGACAAAGGCTGGCAAGTTCCAGGTGCGGACATAAAGACTGCCACTCTGTGACCAACCACCATGAGACTGGAGGGGAGGGGGGTGTATGTGTGTGTGTGACGTGAGCGGGCATGGGAAGACGGTACATTCCCCGTGTATATGCATTTCAGGATTTACCTACAAATATTGAAGGCTTCTTGTAGCAGTTAAGAAAGAAACCATTGCACATTAATGTTAATGAATCAAATGTCCAGCAAACCGGTGAAAGCTTTGAAACAAGTGTAACGAGTCATATCCATCTCTAAAGTTCCTCTCCTGATCTTTATTTTTGTTTTATTTCACAGCCCCTAAAACAAGCTTCTACTTTTGAAATTTTATTAGTCAGTCCAGGATTTAGGGTCTGATTTCCACACAGTTTATCCTCATCTGTGGCAAACATGACATATTCAACTGACGGCTGCCAATGATATTTATTCGTACGACTGACAGAAATGGGTCAAAACACATGTGGGTATGTTGTAACATCCAGGAAGCCGTCTATTGTCTAAAAAGCTTAGCAAACATGAGCAGTATCTTTTTCTTTTTACCTCAAACATGTTAACTTTTTCATGATTGTTACACATCACACACTTGGAAACATTGAATGAGTCCCTCTACTTCCTATTCTCTGCATTTCTGTTTGAATATGTTTTATTGCCTTCTGTTTGTACTGCGTTTGTTTCCTTATTTTTCATGTTTTAAAGACTTGATGAAGCACTGGAGTCAGCACATTGGCATAAAACACTGGAGCCGTCCTTAATCGTGCACTTTGACATCTGCTGGTACTAACATTTCATTTTGATGTTATTGATTAATTACATGTTTGTCCGCACACGTTCATTTGTTTTACTCGTCTTATTTATTGACCAAAACAGAAGATCAGATGTCTACAGTTACAGCTTTTATCATTTAAGTTTACTGGTTTTACGATGACCAAACTTTCCTGACCATTTTATGTTCCCAACGTGGTCAAGGAGCAGATTTTTATCAACTTTCCTGATTTGGTGCTCAACACTGTATTCCACATGACTTCAGCTGTGTGCATCACAGATTTTACATTCAGAGAAATTATGATGTGCATTCAAATGTCTGTCAAACATCTCATAATTCAAAGGGTATAATATAACGGCTTGGATCCCTCGGATGTTCAAGGTTTGCATCATTTGTGTTTGTTAAACAGCCTCCAATGGAGTCTTATAATGGTTAAAAAAAAAACAAATAAAGATTTGATGTGTTATAACTGAACATTGAGGCGCTTTTGAGTGTGTACTGATCTGTTTGCAGTCCTCTAAACATGCAGGAGCAGCTGTTCGAAACTGTATTTTTCAATGCACTATAAGAAATTGAGTTTAAGATTTGAGCCAACATGATTTGTGATTTATAAAAACTTTGTGATTACTTACATGCTGCCATGGTTAAAACATTCACTGCAGACTGAGCTATGAACCCTCAGTTAAATAACATTGCGGTCTAGCGGCCCTCATCCAAGGAGTTTGTTTTAACGCAGCATAATACATCAGTCTAATTGTGACTGTGAAACCACAGAAGTTGCTTCTATTTTGTTCTGACTCATTTAGCTTCATACACAGTGAATTACAGTCGCCGTACTGCTTAGCCGAAGCAACATCGGATATTGCAGTTCTCCCTGAAATCTCTGTTGTGTCAAATAATCATGAAATGTGGATGCTTAAAATATGAGAGGAATTATCCGCCTCATCTTCATTATATGCAGTTAAAGAAGTGTGGTTACACAGAAGTATTATGAGACGCCCTGTTATTGTTTGCTCAAGAAATGGTTGAAATATTGTGGTTAAAGCTACTATGAGGAACTTTTGACTGGCCATGAAGCAGACCGAAATTCATGTTGATGCCAAAATATTAGGAAGAACATTGGCTTTTTCTGTCGGATGGTTTTAATATCTATAAGTGCAGCTGAGGAGTCGGTGTGTTGGTCAAAGTGATTTTACATCCTGCCACAGAAGCAGCCTTTTAAGACACGTGGAGCTATTTCCTGTTAAAAAAGTTTACTTTCACACTTACAAGAAAGGTGCTTTTAGACCCACAAGAGGATTACAATTCAACAAGAAGTGCATGTTCTTCACAGGAGCATTAATTTGATCACTGTTTAATGCCAAAGTGTAGTTATGAAAGAGCCTGTTTCACCTGTTTCTCAAGGATTTCAACCACATCTCCATTTAAACTCATTCAAACTCACTCAACCTGGCTGACAGGGGCCTTCGACAAATGATACAACAAATATTAAGCTGTTGACTCCACTTTATTTACATATATTTTCTCTAAATTCAGCTGTTGAAACTTTTTCTTTTCTGAAGTCTGCTCCAAAAAACAAGAAACAATAATTTTATAGTTTGTCATGATTTTTCTAAACAGTGTTGCCATATTTGTTCAAGAGGTAGTGTGAAAAAAATGCAGTGTGATTTAAATGTATGTATAAAAAACAACACTTTTTATTCCAGAGGGACATTTTAAACCAAGTGGGTTGTACTTTTATTATCATTGTTTACATTTTTATCCTATATTTAATTGTTCTTACTATAGTTCTTTTTTTTACAAGCTGCATACCTGACATGTTAGTTTAAAATATGTAAATAATGAAAGAGTAACAGCAGATTTTGCACTCTTAGTACTTAAGTATTTTACAAAGCTATATGTTACTTCAGTGTAGTAATTCAAGAAATAATGTGATAATGTTATTTTTTTTATTGTTGAGGGCAAAGTTGCATAAAAACACCAACCTTAAAAGTCATCTGAGGTACCTGCACTCTCAGTGGTGTATGTAACTCCCCTATATCTGACCAAAGCAAACCTCAGTCTGTCCAGGGTCCTAGACGACCCCGGTCCCAAGAAGTCCTTGTCCTCATTCCCCCCATTATGTCACAATATCGAGTTCAATCCGGCTCATGACACCACATGAACCTGATTATCACCCTCACTCTGACTTTTTTAGCCGATCAATAATGCTTTTAAAGGTGGTTTTACATCATGATGATCTCAGCACTCACATTTCAAGTCAGCAACACAGGGGCCACTTTTAACCCCCACAGCCCCCTTTTGGCTCCAGCTGGCAGGAGTCCAGTCCATAACTTACTGATGACTTTAACCCTTTAGGATACAACCTCTCTCTCTCTCTCTCTCTCTCTCCCACCTCCAGCACTAACCATCAGACACACCAGCCTGAAGTCACAGTTATGTCATTAGTGTTTAACTTTTTCCTCCCACTCTTCTGAGAGTTTTTCTCCGTGAAAAGGCGTGGAAGATCCCACTTTCTTTTATTTCACTAATGTAATAGTAGTAGAAGTACCAACTTCGTTCATCTTTTGCTTCTTTTTTTCATTTTTTTTTTATTTTGCAAAAGTTTCCAAGACTGGTCGTGAGAAGGAATACCGAAGAATTTACAGACCCATTCATCACGGGTGGTATGTTGGCCTCTTATCGTCAATATTAGAATAAAATGATCATGCATTTTCTTGTTTCATATATTCTTATCTCATTCTCTTTAAGTGAAATTAATTTTACTGTAAAAGCATTTCATAGATCCTTATGTTAATGTAGAGGCAATAGCTCTTAATGTCTGAGGGTATTGTTTAGCACTTTAGTTCGTGGTAACTTTGAGAGCCTTCATTGTACTTTTAAGGAACTATAACATAGAGATATTTACTTAGATTCCTCTGACTTGGACTTAAGTAAATAACCTGCAGCAGGTGGGTAACTGCAACGGCCGCGTGGATGCAAATTCAAATGTGTATTCACACCTCACTTGAAGTGCTGTTTTTGTCACCCAAAGCAATTATCCCATTGCACTCATTCACGGCCCTGTAATGTGTTGCTATGTGTATCCTGCAGTAGTAGATAATGAGCATTATCTTGCTGTAAATCTGCTACTTTTTTTCTTTTATCTGATCGCTTTGATTGCTGTGGGCTGGCCAGGACCACCTGTGGGGATGTTTGTGGTTCCCTGTCAGTACCCACGTGGGCATACAGTAGCAGCAGACACAACAGGCACCAATGGGAGGCTCATTTACGGAAGTTGCAGCGTTACAGCGTAAGGGCAGCGTGACACCGGTGTTATGCCGTAGTATGCACCCCCTGCATCCCATTCACTCATTAGCTTTCAAGTGGAAGTAAATGATCTCCTATTTAATAAAACAACACGATTATTGGATCATAAAAACATGTCAAATGGAGCAGCAAACTTTAATTCTGATTCTATATGTCTCACAAATGCACATATATAGGTGTACATGGGTATGTAAACTGTACAGTTAGCTGTCAAGGTAGAGAACAGCAAATATTCCGAATCAGAAGGTTATTGTTTTCGGCTTATCTGAATAGCCTAAATTAAATCATTACAGGCACACGCTTTTTAATCCATCCAACGTTACGGAAAACTTGGATTATTTCTACTTGTTATGTACTTTTAACTGCGCTTCCGTTAGGAGGTGCATTTTCGGCAGGGGTGCATTCTACGGCACAACATCTGTGCTGTTCATACCGCGTGCACAGTCTGCTTCACTTGATTTTCCGCGTTATTGTGCCATTGTAAAGTGTTTCTAAGTTGAATTTAGTCCACCATCCACCCTTTCTTTGTAAAAATATCCCCCTTATGCTCTTTTACAGTTTACCTGTAACAGTGCACACCTAAGCTAACGTCTCGCCCATAGTCTGTACATACTAGGCTAACGTTTCGCCTTCGCATTTTTATGCTAACTCGTTTTATTTTCATGTCAGTGCTTTCAGCCGTAATGGACAGCATGAGGTCATGTTTGGTAAGCTTTTCGCTCAAAGTAAGGCAAAATAAGAGTGTATGTTTACTAAATTGTGCTTTTAGCAACTATTCAAAGCGTGATATCAATACTAATGCTTATGCTAAGTTTCCAACCACTCGCCATGTTAGCTAACCTAGCTAGTCAGCAAGCTAAGAAAATCCAGGTAAAGCCCCAACGGTCAGATAGCAAAAAACGTTAACATAACAATAACTGTATCTAACTGAGAGCAGAGGTTTTATATAAAGGCTTTGCCTTTAAATTATTATTCAAAAATTAAGCCATTTGGCTATATAGTTGGTAACTTGGGGTATCCTGTGTACATTTTAATGTAATTCACCAAATTTCTGCTCATTATTGATTTAAAGTTCATGAGGAATTTTCAGTAGGCATGTGATTTGGCTGCTGTTGACAAAACTGTACCTCTTCTACCCTGTTTTATTATTATTATTACTATTATTTTTACTTTACACTTTACCAACACTTTTCTTCCTTTTTTAAACAAAAAACTCATGGCTTTTTTTTGACAGTCTACAGAGTTCGTCTTGTGCCAAATTAGTGCAAACAAATCCATGTGCATGGTTTATAGTCTGCATAGGGCTGGGCGATAAAACGATTAATTTCCCTCAATATCAATTTAAAACATGCTCAAAATCTTATTCGATAGTCAGCATTCTGCCATGTTTTGGTATACTGTATGAATAGCCAATGAAAAGAGGAGTTGCTCCAGGTTCGCTTTGTGCTGAACCAATCGTGCTGAATTAGAATCTCGTAGCAAACAACTGCATAGTAGCGCAACGCCTTGAAGCGTCAAAGAGGCACGAAGACCTCACAGATGCAGTAGCTTATTGTATTGCAAAAGACATGCTACTAAGCACTGTTAAATTTCATTTTTTTATTTCGTGATGTACATTGATATTGACTGATATGAGAAAAAATTATTGTGATAAACTTTAACCATTTCGCCCAGCCTTAAGTCTGCATATAAGAATATGCAACCTGTGTTGATGATTTAAAGACTCACAATATGCAAATATTGACAAAATTCACATGCACAGATACTTAACTGTACACACAGATTTGAAAAATGAAGACACTGATTTATATTTCTTTACCTGGCACCAAAGGGGCTCTGCAACTTTAAGATGTATCACTCATCATCAGGAATCTTTGCTGAGGAAAATGCAAGAAATGGTTGTTTCTGAAGGGGACTGTTTCACACTTTGTCTGACACCTACCCCGCAACACCAGCTTCAGAATTAAGACTGACTATACACCGACTTAATCAATTTTATTATCAGTAGTCTTAATAGTAGATCATCCAAAATTAACCCTGATCCTTTCCATTAGCAGCAAAAAACTCCTCACATAAGCTTCAGCAAACCACTGTGGTACTGCAGACATTTAGAAAAGATGTTTAGTGCAGTGTGTGAATCCAGCAGTCGAGAGCAACATTAGGTTTTCTCC